CTATATTATAGTCAAGTTTATTGAAGTGCCTATTAATATAAATGCATCGAACTAAAAGGTAATTGTAATAATGGATATTCTCGTAGACGTTAGATAAAACTAGAGTACTAAGAAATAAGTATATATTTATAATGTACGAACAGTCACTTAGAAAGATGCACGGGGACGCCCTAAGGGATAACATGTATAAATTGTGTATAAGTAATATTTAAATTTATAAAAAAAAAATATTAAATTACAAAATCCTAAACAAAGGAGAAGCATTACCATGCAAAGAAATAGGTATATTTATAATGTACGAACAGTCACTTAGAAAGATGGACGGGAACGTCCGAGGAGATAACATGTATAAGTTATGTATAATTAGTACTTAAATATATAAAAAAACATTACATTACGAAAATATAAAAAAAGGAGAAGCATTACAATGCAAAATGCAAAAAATAATTGCATAAAACGCTTAATGTATTTGTGATTGCAAAATGGTTTTGACGAGAAACGAGAAATACATAGTTTTCTACCTACACTACAACTTTAATTAATTAATAAACATTTAGGAGATGACACGGGGTCACTAGCAATCAATAAATCAATCGTTTATTTGTATATATATAAGTTCAGTTATAAATTTGACAGTATAGAATGTAGAATGTTTGCCATCACAACGCTTACAAATATTGTTATTACATAATGCCTCCCTAGATGGAGATATCGAAACGACTATAATGTGCGTATGTATATAAATTAATTAAATTAATGCATAATTATTCAATATATTGAATTTTTAGACATAGAATAAAGACAAATTATTAGAACTATTGAGGACAGAAGGGGAAAAATGTTGGGACACTTGATACGACACGACGAACTTATGAACATTATAATAGAAGGTAAGATAGAAGGAAGAAGGGCAAGAGGGAGAGGGAGACATAGTTACATGAGGCAGATCAAGGAAGGAGTTGGTGTCGTGTCGTATCAAGAGGTGAAGAGACTCGCTGAAAATCGTAGTGAGTGGCAAGAGCTCCACCGATAAGAGCGCAGCTCTTAAATAGATAGAGAGATTGAATTATGCAGACTTATTTTAATGTTAAAATTCTTCTTAATCAGAATCCCTGGAGTTGTAATATGTTTTAGATGTTTTATTTTGTCTGATGCTAGTATTTCCCTTGTATCTAAATAATTTTTCCTTTCATATTATTTATATGTATAATGTTATTATATACATGGTATTATATGTATATAATATTGTATTTTTTCTGTTTATTTACCCATCACGTTGCACCGTCAATTAGGTATATTTTCTGTTATTCCTGTCTTAACAGTTTCTCTTATTACAGTTGACTGCTAGATAACCCTAAATATTAAGTCCACTATTTAGACTGTCTAGGTATATTAAAGTTTAATAAATAAATAAAAATAAATATTAAAAACGCCCATAGATTTGTAGCATGCAAAGCTATATTTACAAGAAATTTCAAAGGTCCTAACACTTGCATTAAATGTATAACAATTATTAACGATGTTTCTCGGTACAATTAAATATTTTCTACTTTATAAAAAATATTTAATTGGGGGAGGGGAAGGCTAAGTTCAGCAGTGGACAGTTGACCTGATGTGACGCTAATAACAGAGAGTACTAATTTAGTAACCGAAAAGTGCCTAATGCCTAAAAGTGGACAGCAAAAATAACGAACAAGGAAGTCTTGAGAAAGATAAATGAGAAAAGAGCATTAATAAAAACAATAAAGAATAGAAGAGGCAAAATGCTTGGCTACTTTATATATGACAAAATGATTTTTAAAGAGCATACTAGAAGGAAAAATAGAGGGTAAAAGTGGAAAGGCAATACCGAGGAATAACTACATAGAACAATGTCAATACGAGGTGTCTTTTTTTATGGGTAAAAATGTAATGATAGCCCTGCTCGCGCTAACGGGATTCGCTGGCGGAGCACCAGTGAAGGGTGATAGATGAGAATGAAAACAGGCCAGTTAGCCCATCATGATGAATTCATCAGGAATTAACCATGATAGTTTCCAGGGAGAACCACGAGGAAGTCGATCTGGTTAGGTATATTGCTAGCAATAGGATTTTTAGCCTCCATTACTAACAATCTCTTTCTCCCCAATACGAGGTGTCATGTCGTATAGGGAGGTCAGAGATATGGCCTGAAACAGAGCTGCCTGGAAGAGAATGCATGAATTAGTTGCACCAACAAGAGGAAGCTCTTAAAGGAAAGGAAAAGTGTCTAATTAGGTGCTTATTAGAATACTTAGTCATTAGTAAGATAATTGTATATTCTATCAACCGTGTTTGTTTAAGAAACGTATTGTCCTTGTCAAAAGTTTTCCAATAAATAAATAAATAAATAAATAAATAAAAGTTTAGTTTGAAGACAGATACTAGATGGCGTTGTAAAGGTTTTCCTGTGTTTCGAATGACCTGCCCTTAGACAAAATGAATAAATCCTATCATTCCTACTGATTTATGGTTGTTTCATATGACACCATCGGTAGCAAATTTTTGACTCACCTAGTTGTTCAGTGTTATAATTAGCAAAGTTGCATTAATAAAAAATTATGCATTGTGACTTATCAGGCGTTTTTTGATGGATAAATACAATAATCAAATAAATTTATATGCGCCCATTTGTGTTAAAAAAGGAGAAGGTATTAAATAAAATAGTCTTAATCTTTAATTTATGTCAAAAATTACAAAAAAAAATCTTTTGTTATTTTTAATGTTTTTGTTTTTGTTATTTCTTACTTTTTCTGTCCAGCTTATCCTTTGCATTCTCCTCGACCTCATATTAATAAATTTCCTTTTGTTATAGCTATGGCACTCTTAATATGTTGTTCGATAAGAAACCGATACAAAAAAATTAAGGTGGAACCAACAAATAGGTTACAAATTATATATATATATATATATATATATATATATATATATATATATATATATATATATATATATATATATATATATATATATAATAGTGTATTAATAAGTAATTAACTTCATAAGTATGCGCTTATTTTTAACTAACATCGAAAAGAAGGAGATTCTCAATTCGATTGTACTGTTTTGTCTGTTATTTCATAACTCCGTTAGATATAAATCAATTTGAAATTTTCAATTTGATTTATAACTAACAGATAACTTTCTTTATTTAAAAGGATATACTTACAGATCGGTACCATAGAAATTTTATCAAAATCGGGTCAGTAGTTTAGTTTTTAAATCAAAATAATTGGTTTTACCACAAATGAAATAATTTTTTTGTGGAACACAATTGTATGTACGTGCATTCTAGTCTAGGGTGTAGATGCGCAGTAGAAAAGACATCAACGAGCACCGTACGCTCGCCGTACACTCCGGCGCGGCGGCGCGCTGTGTTCAAATAACTACTTCCAAGTTCAGTTCTAGTCAATATTATTGTTATATATATATATATATATATATATATATATATATATATATATATATATATATATTTCCAAAAAGGGTTGACGTTAGGCAGGTGGCCGGTCGTAAAACTAAAACCAATTTTTTTTGTAATATGGATATGGACCCCAAATAATAATTGAGATAAGGGTAGGCAGGCGGGTTAGCAACAGTAATTAATCTTTGATGATGTTTTAAAAGGGACACCGCTGCCCATCCCTCGACCTATAAGTTAAAGGAAATATGTATTACCTAGCCTGTAAACGTAATATGATATACATATCACATAATCACCATCACTACGCGATCCTCTAAGTGCCACGAGTACTATAACAAACGTATATATAACTCTAAGGAATATATTTGAATGAACAAGATAAATATTACATAATGATACTTAATGATCTTTATTGAACACTTTGATTTATATCTGAGTATGGACATAAAATATGTATTCGTTTAAAATGACCGCCATATTAATTGATACGTGTTTGTTATATTTATTATTATTATATACATGTATATTACTTATGAGCAATACGTACATATTTATATTCAAATTATAATAAAAAAAAATACTTCCAAATTCAAATCTAAAAAATCTGGATGATTTTTTTTTCTGGGATCTGAAGAATTTTTAACCATTAATTACAACAATAAAAAAAGCATGTTTTGTTTTGATTTAAAATAAAATAGACACATGTATCGAATTAACTGAGTAAATATATGCTTTTTTATGTCCCCTTTTAAAATTTGCATGTCTAATTATAACGAAATATGTGGATTTTGGCATCTATATACTTGTCATGTTTCTTGCAAATTGATATTCATTAATTCATTCCTTAATTTGAAATTTAATCATTTTTTGATACTCGATGCTCCAGCATTTCATCACATCAGTCATCCACTGTCCACTGATGGCCTTTCTTATAAAACCAGTTTTGCCAATAATTGCCACACTTGGCAGACGAATTAGCAACCCCAGTTAGACTTTGGTGATGTTTTAAGAGGGACGCTGCTGTCCATCATAACATTAAGATCCCTTAGTCGCCTCTTACGACACCCACGGGAAGTAATATGGGGTGGCCACTCAAGAACCTTTCTTTCCCATCGGTTATCGGTCCTTCGAGCTATCTGACCAGCCTATTGCCACTTCAGCTTGCTTATTCTTCGGGCTCGTATTCTATCACACAAAGAAACTCCGAGCACGACCCTCTCCATAGCTCGCTGAGTGACTTGAAATTTTTGCATACGGACAATCGTGTAGGGCCATGTCTCGGTTCTGCGAGTTATGACTGGCAACACGCGCCGGTTAATGACCTTCGCCTTCAAACATTGAGGTATTTTGTACGATATTATGGTAGGAACAATATTATTCTAATACCAAATAAGTGTAAGTAGCATTTAACATTGAGCCGCGAGTATCACACTGCGACGTGTCATAATATATTTCTTAACATTTCCAGTTTAATGTGTAATGGTACATTGTGATGATCACAAAGTACATGCGAGGGCCGGGATTACGACACTGCACCTCGTTATGAATTAATTGCTCCAAGTGGTATAAATGAGTTCGGAATTAGTTGGACACCATCACAATATCGCCGCAGCATCCAGTCGCCACACCGACACCTAATACACCATGAAATTCATCGTGAGTACCTCCTTCATCAATTTAACATGTGAAACGAACAATTTTAAAATCAATATCGATTACATTTTAAATATTAGACATTCGCGCTGCATGTTTTATAAAAGATAACACGATCATTTGGGTGGATGTGGGACAATGAGTGGGTAGAAAGAAATAATCGGCTACAGAAACGGAAACATGATAGCGCGACATCAGTCTACTGGTGACCGCGGCCGGTGTAACACGGTCGAGACGTCGAGATGACTCAGATAAATTGTCATAGTTTACCTAAATAATTGCATTAATTCCCGTCTCAATGGTTTTTTTTATAAATCTTATAGCAGTACATCAATATTAACATATTTGAATTGGAAATCTGTTGGAAACATCTAGATAGAAATAGTTAAAATTTGACATATTACTATTCAATCAGGATGTCACCTTCTGGCATGACATGTGCTTCTAGACTGCCTTCGTTTTACATGACAGCATCTGGGGTGGCCTACCAAAGAACAACTTAACATGTCTTCCAAAGCACGAATCTAACGCTTTTCATTTTAAATATCCAAGCATAAATTAGATAACTCAAATATTTAAGCTGGGATTCAATGTTGCGACCCAAGACTCCAAGTATTGACTCTTTTTCTCTCTCAACTTCATTGTCATTGGCTTATTTGAGATTATATATTTTCCAGGTAGGGAAGTGGTCCTTTAAAGGCGTATATGTTCCCTTGGGCATGGAAAACGTATAATTGAAAGCTCCGCTCCTTATTCTGGGGTGGGCACCAGACAATTCTATGGTGGGCACGGCCCACCCGACCTCCCCCTCTAAATACACCTATGCTCATTATACCATTATCATGTCATGTCATTGTAGCTTGCATAAATCTCCATTACATCTCGATCTGAGTATTAGTATAGCATTGTATTATCTCTGGTCCAAGTTACTGTTAATATCAGCTTCGTAGCTGCGGTTTACCAATATTCCCATTTTCTCTGGCAGTTACCAATGAAGAGTCGTCTGATTACATCCGTCTTCACTCTCCGTCAGCCATGCCCGGCTCATTGCCATCTAACCATACTACTGTATCTTCTGGCAATATCGGTTACATTAATGAGCATGGGTATACCCTCATTTCACACTTTACTGGCTTGACGCCAGGTGTCTCCTCAAGAAGATAGTAAGGGTTGTTCTTTTCATTAGAGTTATGTCTCTTTGAGGCAGTCTATTGTCTATCTTTTTCTTCGTATCCTCATGGCTGAAGGACGTGATCATTACGTACATGATATCTTTTCCAAGCCGCACGATTTTCTGCTTTTGTCCACTTATAAAAGTGTAAGTCATTACCAGTAGAAAGCGTTTATTATAAAGACCTTTTCAATTTATCATATTTTTGACCTGAACTTGTCCTCTGTTCTGGAAGCTGCTCTAATTATTTATTTATTTATTTATTTATTTATTTATTACATCCACTGGGTGAGCCTAACAGTCTCCCAATACGCCCACCCAGGAAAGCATGAATACAACAACATATAAAAAAAGGAATATTACATATATACAACAAGAATAATATAAAAAGACTTAAACAAAAACGTCTGAACACAAATACTCTGTGGTCACCCGACGAAACTCCAGCAAGTTGGAAGCAAATACATCCAATTGCGGATACTGGCTCAAAACATCATTGAGTAGTTTCAATGCAAGAGATAGGGGAGCCTGCTTAGCGAACTGTTCTTCGTAATGGAACATCGAATAAGTGCCGTCGACGTGTTCGCACGTAGTTACTGGGCTTATATCCACCTTAAGTTCTAAATTCTATAAATCTGTACTAAATCTGAGTTTTAATACAGGTACTCGCTATATCAGAGAAGGACTTAACGAACGTTTAAAAAGTTGTCTACTTGGGTACCTCTGTCCCACTCATACTAGTACTTCCGCCGTGCGTGTGTTTTTGCGAGTTTCAAATTGAGTACAAATTTTATGTATATTATGAAATATTTATATTAATAATATATTGATTTGTGTTCTATTACTTTGCTATAAATAAATAAATATGGCAATGACATTAAAGGTACTGAAGCATAACACCATAGTCTTTAGGACTGGTAACACTTGAATGATACCATAAACGTCACGGAGTATAACCTGACGTCCATGGTATATTCACACAATGACCACTTTCCATTAGTTTGCTTACTATTCTAAGTTGCATAAAAAACATAAGTGAGGGCCATCCACTTGGTCTTTCTAAGATTATTTTTTATGTCAACATATAGTAAACCATAATCTCACCTACATCTTAACTCGTTTCTAAAAATAGTACAATGTCATACAGCAAAGCGTAAATTCCGACATCGTAAAAAAAAATTTACTGTCCAATATAACAGTTAATAATTAACGATAGTCCTTTACATTTTTTTTTTTTTTTTTCTTATCGCCTTTCTCCTTTACTCACTCTTGTTGTATATTTGCTATATCTATATATATATATATATATATATATATATATATATATATATATATATATATATATATATATATATATATATATATATATATATATATTTCTTTATATGTATATATATTAGCATAATATAGTGTGCTGCAAAGATTACCCAAAGACTGTCTAGATAAGATTTCCGAACCGATACGACAACATAACCTTCAAGAAAAGAGCATATTCCTTTTTAAAAGGCCGGCAGCACACCTGCAATGCCGCTGGTGTTGTGGGTAACCATGGGCGGCGGTAGTCACTTACCATCAGGTGAGCCGCATGCTCGTTTGCCCCCTGTGTTGTAAAAAAAAATAGTCACCTTTTTCAGACTTCATAAAGAAGACAATTTTCAATTCGGTTATAATTTTGAAATTTGTTACTCGATTACTCCATCAGTTCTGAATTGATTTCAAAAATTCTTCTTTCATCTGAAAGGACAGATTAAGTCAATAAAAGTTTCATCAAAATCAGTTTAGTTAATTAGTTTTTTAAATCAAAATAACAGATTTTGCCACACAATTTAAGTTGTTCGCTTTAATTGATTGATTGACTTCTGTACTGGTGATTAAATAAATAACTAAAAATAAATTCCACATATATATAATATTTACAGATAAAGTTGACATTGTTTATTGTAAAATATATTTATTATTATTGTTATTGGCTGGTTGTAATATTCAATTTATTGTAATGCTTTTTGTATGACTATCCCTTATTTCACACACAATGTACATTGTTTTTTGAATAAAAGACTAACGAATAATTATTGTTTTTACAGACCATTTATTAATGGTGGCATAACTGCTTATTTTTGTAACCAGTACAATAAAGTACATAAATAAATAATTAAAATAAATACGAGACTCTAGTCACCAGCCATCAAAACATGAGCATGTTAAGAAATATATTTGATATTAACTTCTCGATCAGGTATCATTGAATGAGTACATTACTAATGTCTATATTAAACTCCATGTTTACGAGTATAGTCGAGCTGTGCAGCTTGTAGCTCCTCGCTTATTATATTATACGATAAAGTGTTTACCGATATTCTCAAATTAAACTGCATATATTGGAATGGTAATGTAATAAAACAAGTATTTATTGCAATTAGATGACACCGTTTTAAATTGTAAATGTTATGGAACTTTTAATGCAGTCTTATATACTTACATATATATGAGTAAAACTTATCAATTCTCATATCATCATGTCAGCCTCTAACTGTCCACTGCTGAACATAAACCTCCCCCTCAGGGGAATTTGCCAGTAGTTGCCCCGCTTGACAGGCGGATTGGCAACCACAGTTAAGTTTTTAGAGGAACGCTGCTACCCATTCCTCGCCCTTCTTTAGTCGCCTCTTACAACACCCACGGGAAAGGAAGTAGTGGCCTATTTTACACCAGGACCATACGATAACAATTTTCATATAAATATGATTAAAGTATATTTTTAAGAAATCTTACTAATAACCCTTGTTAAAAATATCAGCTTCTCTCTACTATTTTATTGTTTGGTTTATAAATAAAAAAATATAAATAATCTAGCTTGCGTTGTTACTATTTGCAGATTGTGATACTCGCCGTGGTGGCGTCCGCGTGCGCATCCGAAGAACAGATCCGCGACAAGCGCGGTGTGTTCAGCCAGCCCGTGGCCCATGCAGTCCACGCCGCTCCCGCGTTTAGCACCCACGCAGTCCACGCTGCTCCCGCGTTTAGTGCCCACGCAGTCCACGCCGCCCCCGCATTTAGCGCCCACGCAGTCCACGCCGCCCCCGCGTTTACCGCCCATGCAGTCCACGCCGCCCCCGCGTTTACCGCCCATGCAGTCCACGCCGCCCCCGCGTTTACCGCCCATGCAGTCCACGCCGCCCCCGCGTTTGGCACCCACGCAGTCCACGCTGCTCCCGTGTATAGCGCCCACGCAGTCCACGCCGCCCCCGTGTTCAACTCCGTGCACGCAGTTCCCTCGTTCAGTTCCCATGCCCACGCCGCGCCTGTTCAACACTTTCCCGTGGCATCCTACAGCTCTCACTCCACGCCTTTCTTTTCCGCGCACTCGGCTCCCGTGGTGACCACTAGCCACCACCACCACGTGCCCGTGGTGAGCTCGCATGTGCACGCGGCTCCCGTGGTGCCCGCCGCCTCCTATTTTAAGGCTACACCCGTACACGCTAAGTACGTATCCGCTCCTAAATACGCCGCTGCTTGGTAATACGTGATTTTTGTTATTTTTGTACCAAATAAAGTTATCGTTTAAAAAACCGTCCAATTTTATTGTTTTATTTAACAATGTTGATGGTAATCTTTTAATTTATAATTCAACATTGTGTTTATGTTCAAATAGTTCTAAATTCGAATGGTTAAAAGGTCATAATTATTATGTATGGACGCCGTGGCACAGATCCCACGGCGTTTGTTTCCATAACAAAACTTTGAAAGCCATAAATTGTAGTCCAATGTCATCAATAGATATTATAATATGAATTTAAGAAAATATATTAACATAAAATCAATAAATTACATAAAATCAAATATATCTTTAGTGCATTCTTTTTGGACCTAACTATGAGTATATCATTATCTGTAATTCTGATTATGCGAAGTCGTGAGTACACAAAATTTTATGTACGAATTAAATAACATGAATTTGTTCATTTGATCTCTTGAGGGATCCGTACAAAAATGGTATAAAGGATTATGGCATGTTTGGAATTCGTAATAAAGTATCTACGCTGCAATAGATTGTAATTATAATGACAAATCTTGCAATGCAGTTCCGTATTGAGAGTTCAAAAAAAAGAATTTTAACAATCAATTTTATCCACAGCATATACTAATTGAATGTAAACAAAAAAATAATATGTATAGTTCATCTTATAACCTTGTAATCTTTCTTTAGAGATCATGACTAAACATTGGGTCACTGAAGGTCCAAGGCCTAAGTTTAGTGACATAACATTCGACCTTGCCATCCAAATAGGAGCATGTATTGCGTACATCTGACCACGAGATAACTGACTCGTGTTTAATAGGCTGCAGCGGCTATAAGCAACCGTGCTGTTATTTATGACGCATAAAAATGTTAAACATCCACTTCCAGTGATGTTGCGTAAGGACCTTGCTGGAGACATGTTTAGGACACCGTGCGCCTGTGCCGGCAAACCGCGGTGCGGCCGCGCGTCACGCCAGTCACGATTAGTGATGTACCGATTCACACTTTATTAATATTCGATTATTACTAGTAATCGTTAAAATAACTGAATCCTAACTCGAGTCTGACAACTCTTAATATCACCAGTTTGATCATTCAAGTACCTACTCCATTATACTCAAATTATACTTAAATTTATTTTTAAAATTTACTAATTCAGAAAATGATATATATATTATTTTTTTTTATACAACTTAGAATGACAAACAAGCTGACGGCCCACCTGATGGAAAGTGGTAACCGTCGCCTATAGACATGAGCAGTACTATGGACATAACAGAGTATACTGTTTCGCCCATGATACCCCCCATGCGTTGCCATTCCTGAGGACTCAGGTGTTATTCCTCTGTATCCAATAAATTCACGCCATATCCCACCCTTCAAACCGAAACACAGCCATGCAAACACAACTGCTTCACGGTTGAAACACGAATGGGACAGAGGTACCCAAGCAATCGACTTTTGTACAAAAGTCTCCCTCTGTTTTTATTTTCACATATTCTAATTCATAATGACATATTGAAATGTGTAAAAAAAAACTAAAAAGAACACAAATATAAACATTTATTGCATAAACATGCGACTAGTATTCTAATAGTATATCTAAAGCACTCGAAATCATAGTATTCGAATACCCAGTATCCGAGTTATATACTCGGATTCGCGTCAGTATTCGAGCTTGACGTTTGGCACATCACTAACACCGACACTGCCTATGGCGGCTATGAGTTTTTGGGTCACTAGATCGCTCACAAACATGAATTATTATTAAAATATCACAAGAGGCGAAAAGGTCATTACCACTATTAGTTCGTGAATATAATTACTGACAATCGCGGTTATAGAGAGTTCCAGAACAACAGATCTGGACGAGTGGCGGTCTTCCACCGTGCGTTTTTCAAGGCACTTTCTTCCACGCACAACCATTCTTTGGAATCAACTTCCAGCAGCAGTATTTCCGAACTGATACGACAACATAACCTTCAAGAAAAGAGTATATTCCTTTTTAAAAGGCCGGCAGCACACCTGCAATGCCGCTGGTGTTGTGGGTGATCATGGGCGGCAGTAGTCACTTACCATCAGGTGAGCCGCATGCTCGTTTGCCCCCTGCATTGTAAAAAAAAAGATCAATTTGCTCTGCGCGTAATCTGTAAACAAACTTCCACTTGTAATTTTAGCGCGTTCTAAAACCACCATAAAATATCTAATATTTGTTATTGTATAAGCCATTAAATGTGCACTGCTGAACATAGCCTTCCCCATAACGGGGGTTTGCCATTAGTTGCAACACTTGGCAGTCGGGTTGGCAACCGCAGTTTGTCTTCTGGTGATGTTTTAAGAGGGACGCTGCTGCCTGTCTTTCCACCATAAGCCCGTTATTCCCTTCTCTTAGCGTCCCCTTAGCGTCTCTTACGACACCCACGAGAAAAGAAGGAATGGCCTATTCTATGCCGGGACCATGGTGATAGTTAGATATCAACAGATTATTTGTAAAGTTTAAAATACACTGTTTTGCAAACAAATTATTTTATACCTAAAACATGTAGTTTTTAGAATATATACACACTTTTATCTCACCTATTGATTTTGCGGTCAAGGTGGCAATTGGAATACGTGTTCCGAATTAAAGAAATTGGCGGCAGTAAAAATCCTAGGTGTTTTTACTAAAGATCTCCGTGACGCAAGGGTTGGTGGCGCGCTGACCACGCTCCTCATAGTAATAACGTTTTAATCTGTGAACATAAAATCCTTACTAATATTATAAATATGAAACCAATCGTCATAAAATGAGGGGAAAGGGATTGTTAGTGATGAGATTTAACAGTCCCATTGCTAGCAATACATCCTATCAGGTCGATCTCCACGCGATTCCCCCTGGAAACCATAGTGGTTAATTCTTGTTCAACTGGTCACTATGGGCCAACTGACCTGCCTTCACCCTCACTTGTCACCCTTCATTGGTGCCCCGCCAGTGTATACCGATAGCGTAGGCAGGGCTACCATTCTATTTTCACCCATTAAAAAAAATCGTCATGATATTTAGCATACACTTACTACGTGGGATGAAGAATACATAAGCTACTTTTTATCCCGATCAGCGGACATGTCCCGTCACTCGGACGAAGACATAAGTAAAAGCTAGCAAATAATAATAAAACATTTGTTTTTCAAGTCTGGTTACAATTGTCTTAAGTTATTAATTTGGTTTTGAAGAAACGAATCAAAACTTTATATATATATATACATTCTTTCTTTCAAACAGTTACTGGTTAAGACAGTTAACTCAGATCTTTTGCTATTCTGCCTGAGCTTTTATCCATTAATATTTTTCCAATAAGTCGACGACGACGACAGCGCCGAAATCTAAAAAAAATCTAAAAATGTAGAAATCTGTAATACGAGTAGAGATAAAAAATTAAGTAGGTAATTAAATTCTAAGTAGGGTAATAAAAAAGCTGTAAATGTTGATGTTGGTCGCCACCAACTTGAGCAGATAACAAACAGATCTTACGCATTCCCACTCTCATTGTTTAAAATAACTAAATTGTTAAAAAATAAAGCCGGTCAAGTGCGAGTTGGACTCACGCAAAGAGGGTTCTCTACAAAATCATCAAGTTTAATTTTTTTTTATTTGTGAATTAACTGCAAATTTACGCTTTTCGAATTTTTTTGTTTATTTGTGCTACATGACATTGCTGCTTACCAAATTTCATGACTCTAGTCAACGGGAAATACCCTATAGGTTTTAATTCCTTTTGCGAACGTCAAAATATACGATATAAATGTAACATAAACGGCCGTATCTTTTAATTGCACCGATTTAGAAGCTTCATTTTTTTCACTGCTTTGAAAGATTGCAAACCTAAGTATATGTTATTAATTTCAACTTGATCCCTCCACGCGTTCCTAAGAAAAAACATCTTGACAGACGGACGAACGGACGATAGGACGGACGGCCAACGAAGTGATCCTGTGAGGGTTTCGATTTTTCTTTTGGAGTTACGGAACCCTAAAAATATAGTTTGGATCATATACAGGTCAGACGGTGACCGCCGGCCGCCTGCACTTGAATCACCGACCGAAAACAATGACCTCTGTCTACTACCGCCAAATTACACATCGACGTCAATCATAACGTGACGCAGCTATAAATAACGTTTCTATTTTTAGAAACGAAACCATTTAGCTTATACATAATGGTCGTTCTTTAATACATTTTATAAATTTGATCATTTATAAAGACAGGTTAAAGGCAACTGCGGCGAATTTCAAATTCTATCGAGCCATGAACTCTGAAAAGTGTTCAAAATGTGTTCAGCGTGTCATAAATGACTTAAATAAAGTGTTTATCTATGTATTTATCTATCTAGAATATTAGAATAAGTAAATATATTATGGCTGAAACTCATTTTGTCTTTCACGTAAATGCCGAAAGAAATAAACAAAAACATTATATTAATATTGTACCTATAGTTTGTAATGTAAAATCTTTTTAATGGTATACCTGACCCTGGTCGCCTGGGAGATTATAATACGTGCATACATCAATCGATGACCGCAGTCATATTAACTACAACTTAATGGAGATATGATAGAATATTAATATTTAAAAAAATATCTCTGCAGTGGAAAATACCACGATATCCTTGCTTTTACAACCATAGCATAATGTAATAAACAAAACTTAAGTTTAGAATAAGGTTCTAGAATAAAGATAAGAAATATGTTTAGTAGAATAGGTATTTAAATAGTCTCAGGTTCGATTCTAGGTCGGATGTATTTGGAAAATCATCTATTCGAAAGTATTTCGTGTGTATATTTTGTATACGAAGTGTCCATTGCTTAATTTACTACTGCCAACTAATTCTAACGTCAACACCAGGCGTTAATGATGGTAAATAATCTGGATGTTGTCCCTTATAGCACAGTTCAAAACATGTCAATTCTTCCTGATGTACCTAATAAATTCTATTAATATTATAAATGCGAAAGTTTGTAATAATATATGAATGAATGTTTATTTGTCTTTCACGCAAAACTAAACGAATTTCAAAGCAATTTGGTACATGGCCAGTATTGATTCAAATGAATAAATCGCGGGATATAGCTAGATTAAAATAAATTGCATTTATGCTTAGAAAAACTTTTTTTTACTTTAATTATAATAGTATAATTGCTATACAAATACTAAGCTTTACCTGCGACTTTGTCTGCGTAACCGGGATATATTCACGGACTAGAACAAAAAGTAGCCTATGTCTTTTTTTTTTATACAACTTAGAATGGCAAACAAGCTGACGGCCCACCTGATGGAAAATGGTAACCGTCGCCTATAGACACGAGCAGTACCATGGACATAACACAGTATACTGTTTCACCCATGATGCCCCTCATGCGTTGCCATTCTTGAGGACTCAGGTGTTATTCCTCTATACCCAGTAAATTCACGCCATATCCCACCCTTCAAACTGAAACACAGCCATGCAAACACAGCTGCTTCACGGTTGAAACACGAATGGGACTGAGGTACCCAAGCAAACGACTTTTGTACAAAGTCTCCCTCTGGTAAAAAGGTTCCCTCTTTCTCCATCGTATGTAGTAATCCTGTATAAAATTTTATTCCTCTTTAACTCGTTTCTCATTTACCTATTGCAATACTTACAAGAGCTCGAATATATTTGAATTATAATGAAATATTGGCAAATTTTGCTATGAATTTTTGTATTATTCCACTGATCTAATCTTCGTGTAGAAGTATAGGTTAACGCAACCCATCTATCACGCGTAACCGATAGACATTTATCATAAGTCATTGATTGTGGATGACGAAACATTAAACTAAAATAGCAACATTTACATTTTCGCTAATGGTTCTGTTTTGAGCGAAGTGTATCTATTATGGTATATTAATACGACTAATAAAAATAACTCAATGTCGCGGATACTAACACAGTGCAATTTCCTCAAGAATGGCAATGCATGAGAAGTAACATGGGCGTCGTGGTAATAGCTATGGTGGTGTACATGTCAAAAGGCGATGACTATCATTCACCATGGAGGTGAACCGCCAACTACCGTTCCCGGTTGCATAAATACGTTTTTACGACATCCAAGTACGCTGCAACGACGCGAAGCAGGGTGTGTTTAAGAAATATTATTACACAAAGTGATTTCGGTAATTCAGGACTTTTTAATGGATGATAATGAAATGGTAACCGCGCCTGCGCTATTGGTATACAATGACGGGGCACCAGTGAGGGATGACAGGTGAGGATGAAACAGGTCTGTTAACCGATCGTGAATAAAAAAAAAAAACAAATTAATCATGATAGTTTCCAGGGGGAACCGCGTGGAGGTCGGCCTATTAGGGTTTATTGCTAGCAATCGGGTTGCTAATCCCCATTACTAACAATCCTTTCTCCCCCCTGATAATTCAGGTTAGGGCATACTGTCCCATATTTATAAATAGCATACACAACGAATTCAAGTCTAGCCAACACCAACACCATATTGATTCCATTATGTGTGAATTAAATTTCTCTGTTTTCTTGATAAACACCAATAATGGACCCAATTTACTGCATAGTTGGATTCTAATTAATATCTTAGGCAAAATGAGAGCATGTAGAATTTTACGTTCACTATAATGTTAGCAGTTAAGAAATGCCTCTGACTACCCCATATAGTTTATAGTCGTAAACATGTATTTTTTAAACAGAAAAAAAAGAATATGACAATAATAATAATATTTTTTTTTCTTTTTTAGTTGTATAAAAAAAATTTACTAATAATGATTTTTTTTATACAACTTAGAATGGCAAACAAGCTGACGGCCCACCTGATGGAAAGTGGTAACCGTCGCCTATAGACATGAGCAGTACCATAGACATAACAGAGTATACTGTTTCGCCATTCCTGAGGAATCAGGTGTTATTCCTCTGTACTCTGTAAATTCACGCCATATCCCACCCTTCAAACCGAAACACAGCCATACAAACACAACTGCTTCACGGTTGAAACACGAATGGGACAGAGGTACCCAAGCAATCGACTTTTGTACAAAGTCTCCCTCTAGTAAATCTAATCTAATTTATTTACAAACATGTCGAGGATCATGAAACCTTTATCTATTTATATATTTGCCTAAAAATAATTTTTAGCATCAAACTATACGAGTATAATTTCTGAACTATTGTACATCGTTGTTTTATTCATTGGTTATTACAGCTTAGAACATAACCTTAATAAAGCTCGAGCCACCGACGGTAATTTATAATTAAGATGAATTATTGTGAATCAATGATTGATTCGCTCACACGTATGTACCTAGATGCAGCAAATCAACGCATGTTGCTCGTTTTAAATTAGCACGGATACGTATAGCTGGTACCTCACAAATATTGGTAATACAGAGATTGTTAGTACCGTGTTACCGTAATATTTTTAATAGAGGAACTCAGGGACTCCATCGTGAAATAAAATTCCTAAATTTTCAGACTCAATTTCGTGTTTTCATTCATATTGTAATCGGCCCAGTAAATTGAGCTGAACATTTTGTTCGTTCATCATATTTTTTGTTTATCATTCCTACCATAAAAGTCCAAAGAAATGACATGTTAATTTTTTTAGGCCTTCTGAACTTTTTCTTTAAATAGCCGTGCAGCCATGTGGCTGTGTTTCGGCTTAAAGGGTAAAATATATTACATTGGTATTTAAATTACAGGATACAGACACATGACTCTATAAACTTAATTAAAGGGGGGGGGGAGAAGGCTGCCCGAAGTGGTAACCGTCGCCTACAGACATGAGCAGTACTATGGACATAACAGAGTTTACTGTTTCGCCCATGATACCCCCCATGCGTTGCCATTCCTGAGGACTCAGGTGTTATTCCTCTGTACCGTGTAAATTCACGCCATATCCCACCCTTCAAACCGAAACACAGCCATGCAAACACAACTGTTTCACGGTTGAAACACATATGGGACAGAGGTACCCAAGCAATCGACTTTTGTACAAAGTCTCCCTCTGGTAAAGTCTGGCAAGTCGATAACTAACCTACACCAACAGTGCGAATATGAGGCACCTTGAAAAAAATTCACCATATTTGTTACGAGTTACTTCATATTTAGCAAATAAGCTATAAACAGTAGGTACGTGTATTGCTTTATCTTAAGCTCTTCACTGCAGTAAGTACTTCTATTGTTCTCATTTTCGTGTTCAAAAAAAGCGTTAACGCACACTTTTTATTTTTATCCGAGCAGTAAGTACTTTATATTATTCTCAATTTCGTGTATAATATAGTATATGTCATATATGTGTAAGTATATTTGTTATTTATATATATTTATTCGTTTATATATGTAATTTTAGTATGTATGTATATCAATAATTAGTAGTACCGCATTCTAGTATTCTGACACTTCCCTATGGTTGACTGGGAGAGAATGCTTTTAGCATTAAGTCCGCCATGTACACATATTTGTACTAATGAATAAATAAATAAATAAATATCTTATATTATATATGTGCAAGTATATTTAATTCATACTATATACTTATGTTAAAGTAAACGCTGTGAATACCTTTAATAGGCATGTGCATTAATATTGTATTGTATTTAATGTTTGTTATATATATTATAATGCAATATGCTGCTGGTGTTCCTTTAAATAAATAAATATATTTGTTACTTGTATATATTTATTTATATATGTAATAATAGTATGTAGGTATATCAATAATTACTAGTACCGAATTCGAGTATTCTGACACTTCCCTATGGTTGACTGGGCGAGAATGCTTTTAGCATTAAGTCCGCTATGTACACATATTTGTACTAATGAATAAATAATGTGTATTCTGTTAAAAAAAAAAAAAACTAAAGTAGCAATACACTTCATATTCATATAAATTATATTCAGTTAATAATAATAAAAGTTCCATTGTGACTCATCCGCAGTGGGAGAGGCTCGTTTACATCGCAGAGTAAATCTATCCGGTCAAAATATATACTAATAAAGCAGTTTACTAATATTGTAACACTGGTGCCGTATACCCTCACGTTTACTCTGTGCCGCATAGAAGTTGCTAGTGATGTGTGTCGATTCAGTATATAAGAGTGAAGCTGCGATATGCATTTAGTATGTACTGGTCGCCAGTCCTGCACTCCACTACTCGACTAACAATATGAAGCTTCTAGTAAGTCGGTTTTTTTATTTCACTAAATCTAATATTAAATTAACGCCAAAAAAACAATATGTCAGTCATTGAACTTTTCGTTTTCAATTGTGCAACTAATTATAACCATGCACTATGCATATTATTTAAAAAAAAAATCTCCCAACAATTTATAAGGCATTTTTTATGCAATGGGATTTTATAATTGAATTATTTACTTACTAAATAATTATCTTTCTGATTATATACACATATGTTTGATATATTTTTCTTATATTTATATATAATAATGTATTATGTACATTGCTACGCTGTAACTAAACATACCTTAATGCATAACATATAGATGCAATTTTATTCTAAAATTAAGATTATTTGGTATAATAACTGTTTTATTGAATATAAAATTAAAAAATAAATAAATATACTCACGATTTTAATTACTAATGTCGTAATCAGAGACATGTGTCGACTATTTTCGTGAAAATAAAAATATATATACAATAGTATACAAAATACAGCCATAATATAATTAATAATTAATAAAGGACTAATTGATAGTCTTCACGCACCAAATTATGCACAAATGCCTGAGTGATCTATCCAACAAATACAATAAAAGCTGTAGTGTCTGTTCACACGATGTCATATATTTCATCTAATGAAAATGCACTATTAATATGTCAGATAAATTAATACGTTTCAGAACTAGGAAACAAACATTCAATTAGTGACACAGAGCATGGTCTCACTCATAATAAAGCTTTATGAAAGGGTTCGATTTTCGAGTTAAATTATAAACATAGTTTTCTATATTCTGAAACTTATTTGCAATAGTTTTGACTTACTTGCTACACATAAAACATCATCCATCATCACCATATATAACAACCCTTTAAATATCCTCCACTGGGCACCATCAAACCAATTCACAATAACTTTATTCACACAGGTCCTTTACAGACTCTTATAAAAAAAGATATTTAGTATTCTTCCAATTTATTTCTAGTTTTCTTTTTTATGTTCTGCTATATTGTGCTTTCATTGTATCTTAAGTTTTAATGATTTGATTATATTTTTAAATATATATATATATATATATATATATATATATATATATATATATATATATATATATATATATATATATAGTATGGGGCATTCCATACAAAAATACCGGAACGTCGAGAAATAGACGAATAGTACGCGGATGTCACTATCCAAACTATATTCCGCTTTTTCATTCTAGTCGGCTTTAACACGACTCCGGTTAACAAGCTTTAATTACATTGTAATCTTCTCACATCTCACACGAAGAATGCAATAATTTATTGTATTTGAAACACAACAATATAACTAGCAAGTCATAAAAACTAGTTTTAACAGTTATCACGTCGTCAACATGTAAAATAAGCACCTATTTAAATTAAATAAAAAAAAAATCTCTTTAGGTATTGTTTGAAAACTTACTATCTTTACTTACTTATTTTACTTAATGCTCGAGGGAATGAACAGCAGCGTCTCTCTTTAAACATCAGCAAAGTCTAACTACTATTGCTAACCTGCTTGCCAAACGTGGCAGCTAATGGCAAAATCCCCAATAGGGGCAGCAGTGGGCATTGAACGGCTGATATGACGATGATGATGATTATTTTAAGAATTACTTCATGTTTTCATCACACCATAGGGTTCATTTTAAAAGGAATATACGTTAAAGTGGTATATACTCGTAAGTGAGTGGAGGGCAGTGCATATGATTTGATAAAATTGTTTCAGGCATTCGTGTTCGCCCTGTGCGCTGTGGTGTACACAGCGAGCGCCGGCTACATCAGCCGCGGCTGGTCCTCGCCCGTCGTCGTGGTGAGGAGGAGCTACGGCGGCTACGGGGGATACGGCGGATGGAGGGGCGGCTACGGCGGCTGGAGCGGCGGATACGGCGGATACAGCGGCGGATACGGCGGCGGATACGGGGGCGGATACGGCGGATGGGCCGGCAGGAGCGGGTGGAGCAGCGGATGGTGGTAGACAATAATGTCAATAACTACTTCGGGCGACAACATTCCTTGGACGTACCATTATTTCCACACAGTTACGTACTTCGTCAATGACTGTTTACTTGACAAAATCTGAGAATGTTAGAAATAATGTTACTAAACATATCATTGTCTAAGTGTATTATTCGATTCTGTTCTATGTAATTACATGGGAAAGAAATACATTTTTTAACATTCACACTGACTGGAGGTGCTCGCCCGAAGTATCATTCAACTGTATGGAAGTGTGACAACATAACAAGATCTTGTGTACAGCGACCGTCACACAGCCTGCCGAGCCAACCAGCGACCAAACCTGTGCCATTAATTTTGCAACCATCTTCTCAAATTCACTCGTAGGATAGAATTGCATACTTTCATAAACAACGTGACGAGAGTAAGTTATCGTTGTTCAAGTTATATTTAGAGCATATATTTCCTCACAATCATCATTGTATATATTCTTTATTTATTCTGTGATATTATAATATTAAGTGTTTTCGAGAGCCAATAAAACTCTTCAGTAAACTTACTTGGTGTTTTAAAACATTTTCTCCAAAAACACAGGATGGACTTTGACAGCTTCTAAAATAAATTTATTATTTGTCGGAGTTGGATTGTAAATCGGTGGAATGAACCACCAAGATTAAAAATATATAATGTATGTATTTTATTATACATTACATATTTTTTCATTATTTCATACAGTAGCAATGCCTGTCTACTATACGTATATGTTGCCGTTCCCCCGTTGTTTCTTTACTGTAGGCACTTAAATGGCTGAACAAAAATTTAAATAAAATTTGACGCTCCACTAGATGGCGTCGTAAAGAAACGCTAGAAGCTGCATGTAGCAGCTAGTAAAGGTTACTAGTTTTACATTCCCTCACACCACCTTGCATGTAAATTCTAACCTAAAAGAACAATAGTATCTATTGTACAATGAAACAATATGGAACCTAGATTTTGTGAGAGACTGATGTCTAATTAGATACTATTCAATTATGTGGTTAAATGTAGATTTTAGATAAAGTATATTAATCTTGGTTTATTATATATTATCAAACTAAATACTAAACTAACGAGGTAAATAGTGGATACTAGTAAAACGTGTTAATGTAGTAGGTATATAATCTATCTGTACGCGTACATGTACTTTTCATTTAAACCTGTTAGCTATTTATGCGTGTTTGCGTAGTCTTAAATATCTGCATTAACTTTATATTAAAATTGTAAATTTATAACAGTTATACAGGCACCAAATATGAAATCATAACAAATTCTGTACAAATATGAATAATTTGCATATTTTGTACGAGGTGGTATTTATCGTCCCAACCCATGATACAAATGTCACAGGTTCATTAAAAATGGTTGCACAATGTGGTTGAGTGCACTCTATGTTATACGTCAATGAATATTTGAAATATAGTTAAAAATTATTACAATAATACTTTTTTGTTTAAAATAATAATCAATTTAGTCGATTTTAAAATACAGAAGTCGATTGCGAAATATCAAGATCGATTATATCAAGAAAAGTGAACGGAACGTAGGAACAAGGTTGTTCAGAGTCCGGGGCGCGCCACCGCCGGCCGCGCCGTGCGCCGGCTACAGGGTTGCCTGATGCGAATTTTTATTTTTACCTAAATATCAAACATTTTTCTCCAAGTCGATATGATTTTCAGGATTTTTTAATCCTATTACAAAGTAGTATCGTTTTTCACTACTTTTATTCATGTGTCATAAAATGAACGACAAAAAAAAGATCATTCCTTCAGTTTCTACTTTTCCCTCATAATTTATTCCTAGTTCTAGTATATTTACTGTAATTATGTGCCTTATGTATCTGTACACAGTTTACAAGTATTGAAACTATTACCCAAAATTTCCAAAAAAATACCTAAATTTCGCCAAGTCTAGGAAAATTTTTACCTAAAAATGCGAAAAAATACCAAATCTGGCAACACCGGCTGGGTGCATGCAGCGCCCCCACGCGCGCTCCAGCACTTTATAGAAGTAATTCAAAGCTGGTCTTCACGGCCGATTCTCTAATGACACGATAATTATTTTGTTTACCAACGCATCGATGATATAATATGAAATCATTATTTAAGGACGTCTCTACAGACTGTACGCCATGTGCCTACTGCTAACGGAAACGAGCTACTCGAATATCATAACCAGCGCATTAATAACTCCATGGATATCAGAAAACATTCTATGTAGTTTGTTTCTTAAATATAGGATTTCAATATTCGTAATCTTTACTAATATTATAAATAAGAGAGTGTGTTTATTTGTTTGTTTATTACCTTTTTTTATGCATCTTAGAATGGCAAACAAGCTGACGTCCCACCTGATGGAAAGTGGCCTATAGACATGAACAGTATCGTGGACATAACACAGTATACTGTTTCGCCCACGATACCCCCCATGCGTTGTCATTCCTGAGGACTCAGGTGTTATTTCTATGTACCTAGTAAATTGACGCCATATCCCACCCTTCAAACCGAAACACAGCCATGCAAACACAACTGCTTTACAGTTGAAACACGAATGGGACAGAGGTACCCAAGCAATCGACTTTTGTACAAAGTCTCCCTCCGTATGCTTTAATCTTAAATAATAACAAATAATACTTTTGACTAAAATAACAGTTAAAAGTACTTCTAACCTACCCTAACCTAACCGCAAATTTGCAGGGGCAAAGGGATTGTTAGCAATGGAGTTTGAAATTGCTAGCAATATGCCCTATCAGGTCGACCTCCACGTGGTTCCCCCTGGAAACCATCGTGAACAATTCTTGTTGAATTCGTCACGATGGGCTAACTGACCTGCTTCATCCTCACCTCATCCCTCAGTGGTGCCCCGCCGGTGTATACCAATAGCGCGGGTAGGGTTACCATTCCATTATCATCAATTAAAAAAAAATCACAAATATGCAACCAAAAGTACTAATAACCAATAATTATCAGTCAAAATCACTTTTGACCAACCTGTTCAGTCAAAACTACTTTTGTCTGATTTTGCTAGTCAATAGTGCTTTTGACTGGTTAAGAGATTTGACTGCAACATATACGTAAAGGCGTGCTGTATATCCATTCTTGAGAAAATAATAATAAGTACTTAATAAGAATACATATTAAATTTTACAATAATTAATATAAAATTAAAATAAATAATAAGACACCGATAGGTATTTTGCATATATTTTTTATCTAATTAATTTATATTTTTTATCATGAAATACTTATTCAGCCTATTAGATACATATTAAACGATGCCTTGATAGTAAACGCTCTCCACGCGCCGAGCTGTGTCTGTTTTTCAGCATTTCTTCAAATTCAATTTTCATCATTCATTCAGATTTCATCCAGAAATCTTCTTTAAGGTAAATAAAATTTGTTAATTTCCTGTATATATAAATATTTACAAGTAAAAATGTTTTAAAAATTAATGAAGCGCTTCCTATTACAACACTAATCACTGCATATCTGAGGGCCTACCACGAAATATTTTCCGAAATTTCGGGGACGAACGAAATAGAAATTTGATGTTAAAATTACATAATACATGCCGTTTAAAATTATTAAAAATATTAAAATATCGTTCCTCTGGACTATTAGGATAGGATTTATGATGAATGAAACGTTAAGCTCCATTTACTGGGTCGATTTAGGTACGAACAAAAACACGAAATTGAGTTCGAACATTCGGAATTTTATTTTATCGTTGGCCCCCAATATCGTATGACAGCGTCCGCTGTTGACCGTGCACTCGTGGTTTAGAGGTGTCTTACACCATCATACGAGTATTATCAACTAGCAGCTGGATCAATTAATAACATTTTAAAACTCAACAATATTACGTATAGCGAATGACAGAGTAGGACCGGCGTTCGTCTTCAAGCTACTTGTATATTTGTCACACTTATGATCCTAACGAACGAGTATATCCCTTTCGCCAAAAGGCAATTGTACAGTCAACAATCATAATCGATTCACATATTTACCACATTTTATGCATCATATGTTATTACACATAATCATCATCTTCCTACCATTATTTGCGGTCGGCGTGATATGTTTTTAACCATATTACAAAAAGATTTGGCTTTTAGTTTTACGATCGGCCACCTGCCTGACGTCGACCCTCTTTGGGAAAGGGGTTTTTATAATAATAATATTAATTATATATATTTCGGATTATTTTGGTCCATTAATATTTATTAGTAGCAATGTTCTTAAAACGAATGTTACTACATTTATAAGAGCAGCAGAAGCCAAGATTTTCTATCTGTATGTTTGTTCAGATAATGTAAAAGTTACTGCACAAAATTAGATGCAGTTTTAACAGTTGTATTTTAAAAGATTTAACTGAAAAACTGCTGTATGTTTCATTTTGATACGCCACCTGTTTCATTGGTTCTCGAACAATTCGAACAATCATATATATATTACACATATGATTGTTCGAGTGTATTTTTTACGCTTGTTATTTCATAACTCCATCAGTTATAAACTGATTTGGAAAATCACTTTTTATCTAAAAGATATATTTATTTGTAAACTTGTAAAATGAGACCATTTCTGTGTCACACACCTACAGCAGGTGCGTTTACCACCCGCGTCGTGTGTTTGGACCGTTCAGAATATTGCGCTCAGCTTAACGCTCAATTCAGAACTTCAACAAAACGATGTGATACGTTTATTGCGTCCATTTTGCGTATAAAATAAATGAAAGTATCTTATAAAATTTGTCATTCACTTCTTGAGATATTTTGCGAGTGTTGCAAGCTTGATTCGAATGGTCACACTGTGAAGACCAAGTGTGAAGACGATGGTTACAAAACTTATAAGAATAAAATAATAATAAATGTGCTCACGACTTGGATTGGATAATTCCAATATGTGGTAGTCAGAGGCAGTTGTCGATTGACAATGAATATGACGAGCAGTCGAGTGAGTGTTTTCTATCACGGGAACTTGATACACGAAATGTTTAATATATATTAATAATATGTCGATCTCACGACCTTTACAAATAATAAATTAGGATATATAACCAAGAAATAACGATCTCTCTAATAAAAGTATCTATAAATAACTTTCTGCCCGCTACTTGGTACTTGACTATACATGGATTTCAGCTGTTGGAGAACCAATGAAACAGGTGGCGTAACAAAATGAAACATACATCATTTTTTCAGTTAAATCTTTTATAATACAACTGTTAAAACTGCATCTTAATTCAGTGCTCAATTTTGTGCAGTAATCTTTACATTATCAGAACAAACGTACAGATAGAAAGTCTTGGCTTCTACTGCTCTTATAAATGTAGTAACATTCGTTTTAAGAACATTGCTACTAATAAATATTAATGGACCAAAATAGTCCAAAATATATACAATTAATATTATTATTATAAAAACCCTTTATATAAATTTTTCTTAAATCATGGGAAATCCCATGTACAGATATCGTCTAGTTACAATTATAGTATACTAGATCTATATATATATATATATATAAGCCTATGTCTTTCTCCATCACATCAAACCATCTGTAAATTTCATGTTAATATTATTGTATGATTTATTAAATATAAATAAATAGGTAAACAAATGTTTAAAATTTGTCTTTTAATATTTCCTGACACCTACACAAACAAATAAGTCACACTCAAAGTCAATACATAATTGTTCTACAGCCTTATTTACATTAGCAATGGCCGTGTTAATGGAACACCGAATGTTATAATAAAATCTCTCGATATGTATTGATGACATATTATTTATTCTATTACCTACATAGTATTGGTAATTATTTAGTTATTCCAATGAAGTGGTGGCCATGCGGTGATGGAATGTGTGCATCATCACCGCTCCTTTTCATTCCCTGAATGTAGATAGATAGATAGATGCTCTTTATTGTTTCCTCTAAAAGATTACAATAGTAAACTTATTATAGATACAAACAATTACAAGAAATAATCACAATGAGAAAACAACGGGCGACCTTATCGCTAAGAGCGATCTCTTGCAGGCAACCTTTGGATGGAGAGTGGTAATTGTAAACAGTTTGATGGGAGGCACGATGAAAATGAATGTACTGAGAATCAAATAAGGAAACAAAGTACAGAGATCACAATTGCAAGGAAAATTATTTTGCCTTGATGAAGTGCGTTAGTTTTATTCTATATTAGCTGTTTCCCGTGGCTTCGCCTCCATGAATCATTATATAAAATAGCCTATATGTTAAGTTAGGATATCGCCTATGCTTGTACTAAAATTCAATTCCCTACAATTTAAACATCCTCTTTAAACATCACCAAAGCTTAACTGCGGTAACCAACCCGCCTGCCAGGGGGGGAAGAGAGAACAGATTACCAGTTCCATTACTAACAATGGGATGGTGTCCCGCTAACGTATATCATTAGCGAGGACGGGGTTGCAATTCCTTTATCATCCATAAAAAAACCCCGCCTGCCAAGCGTAGTACTACTGGCAAAACCCCCCTTATGGGAGAGGTCTATGTTCAGCATTAGACAGTTTTTTTTTTTATACAACTTAGAATGGCAAACAAGCTGACGGCCCACCTGATGGAAAGTGGTAACATGGACATAACAGCAACAACAACATGGACATAACAGAGTATACTGTTTCACCCATGATACTCCCCATGCGTTGCCATTCCTGAGGACTCAGGTGTTATTCCTCTGTACCCAATAAATTCACGCTATATCTCACACTTCAAACCGAAACACAGCCGTGCCAACGCAACTGCTTCAAGGTTGAAACACGAATGGGACAGAGATACCCAAGCAATCGACTTTTGTACAAAATCTCGCTCTGGTAAAGTTAACGGCTAAAATGAGGATACGATGAAAGCAACAGTAGATGATATAGTTTTAAAGTCTAGCTTTCGAAAACAAATATTACAAATAACTCACGTTATTTTCTCGAAGTTTAATGTATTTTTTTTTTTATTTTCTCGAGAATATTTCCATTGTATTTATCCATCGACTGCTGGACATAGGCCTCCCCCATAGACTGCCATAAGAAACAGTCCTGAGCCACCCACATTCACTGACTCCCTGTAATACATTTGAGGTCGTCATTCCATCTAGTTCACGGGGTCATCCTACACTGCATTTGCCCGTGGTTACGCTACTCAAGAACCTTTCCTCACCATTGGTTGTAGGTTCTTCGAACTGCGACCAGCCTATTGCCACTTCAGCTTGCATATCCTCCAGACTATGTCGGTTGCTTTGGTTTTTTTGCGGATATCCTCGTTTCAGCTTCTGTCACGCAAAGAAACACCGAGCATAGTCTTCTCCATAGCTCGCTATAGTAATTTGAAGCTTTTGCATACGAGCAATACTTGTAATATAATACGTGTAGGATCATGTTTCCGTTCCATAAATTATCACTAGCGACACTCATTGGTTGCAGATTTTCGTGTTCAATCTTATCTCTCAATCTCTCAAAATTATTTTTAATTGATAATTCTGCAAAATTCTTATAGACAATCATAAAGTGAAATTAGTATATTTTTTACATTAATATATCAGAAAATTAAATGAAAATAGTCCTCATAATAAAGATTGAGATATCAAATTAAAAATATAATTTAAGAAATAGCTTTAAAGAAATAGCGCTACTTGACAGACCTCCATATTTCGATCCATTGTAGCCACGCAAATATCACTTTGACATGCAGATCATGTACAAAGATCTCGAAATCAGATATCAAAATACTAGTAGACATCTGAAGAAAAGCAGTTTACACGATCATTACAGAGTGAAGGACACGCGACTTCGCGGACTTTCACGCAGCGTGTGACGGTGTGACCGGCTACCGTTTGACGCTGCTGACCAATAGGAAGAAATATATAACATCGTTGCGAAACTGTAACGTTATACATCTTTCCTTTCCTTTTTCCGTGGCTTTAAACTAAAAAAAAAAAAAAAAAACAGGATTATTCTTTAGAAATTACATTAAATTAATTACATCATACTTATGTCGTACTATTAAAATTTGGAACAACCTCCCATCCTGTATTTTTTCCTCCAGTATACAATTCTACTAGTCTTCCGCGACACGTGAAAAGCAGCTAATTCACCTGTTCATGGCTTGTGCATCGATTCTTGTTCCCGCAGACATTTGTTATACATGTAAAGCTATTCTAAAAATATATGTTATGAATCAAATTAGAGATGGTAAAAAAGTATGTAAATGGAACTACGGCGGTGATGAAATTGTTGAAACATTTACATCGTATTAAGTACATGTCACACTATTTACAATGACATAAGTTCGGTGTGTAAGTAAAGCAGGAGTTGTGCACTAATTGGCGTCGCCGGATCCATTGCAACCACGCGAGCTGAGCTTGCGAGGACGCTTGCGTAATGTTTTCGCGCGTCGCCACTATATATGATTCGGGGGAGGCTTCCACAGCATCACACATCATCAGCTACTCCTCCGAGACAACCCACCAACACAGCAAAATGAAACTCTTTGTAAGTATTCATATTAAAGAACAGAAAACAGCCAATAACATCTCCTCAGAATTAGAACAGTTTATCAACTCGACTATTACTCGAATATTTTTTAATTTTGATTCTTCCTTTATCGTCTAACCATATTTTAATAAGTATAAAAATAATTCTTATTCAAGTAAACTTAATTACAAATATTTTGTATAGTAATTTTTCTATGAATTTACACCCATCCGGAATGCAATTTCAGACAAGAAACTAAACTGTTGCTTTTTTCAACAGTAGTTAATTTTATAAATATGTGTCAATACAGACTAGCGAATAGCACAAAAGTAATTTAAATTATTAGACAAATCAAGCCTATTATTGTAAATATTACGTTGAGTCGAATATGAAATAAAATATGTTCAGACATATGTAATTCGTAATATAGATAGTAACTTAAATATCCCATGCGTGACCATTTGGAATCAAATACATTTGTCGTATAAGTAATCGTTTAATGTATAATACTCATTGATACAATTAAACTTCTTAAGTATTATAAAGAAAAACAAAAGACTAATAGAAAATATCGATTCTATAATATCGTTAGTAGATAGGGATTAAATAGTACGGAATAGGCTTGGAATATAATGAGGAAATATTAATTCAAAATTATGTTTAATAAATAAATCTGCCATTACTTCTATGTTGAACAACTCTTTATATTACAACTGTTCAAAAACTCCACAGGTGGCTATGTGCGCTCTGGTAGCGGTCGCGTCCGCCGGGCAGGTGCGCGAGAAGCGCGGCATACTCGGCGGGTACAGCGGCGGGATCGGATACAGCGGCGGATACAGCGGCGGCTACAGCGGCGGATACAGCGGCGGTTACAGCGGCGGATACAGCGGTGGCTACAGTGGAATCAGCTACTCAGCACCTGTGATCGCCTCCGCTCCCATCGTATCCGCCCCTATCGTGTCCGCGCCCCGGGTGGTCGCAGTAAACCGCGTCGTGAGCGTACCGAGGGTGGTCAGCGTGCCCCAGGTGGTTCAAGTCCGTAAAGTGGTCAACGTGCCGCAGGTGGTGACCGTCAAGAAAGTGGTGGCGGGCGCCAGCTACGCCGCGCCCGCAGTCGCCTCGTACGGTGGCGGCTACGGCGTCGGCGGAGGCAGCGGGTGGTGGTGAACTGTCAGCGGCGGAAACTAGTCATACTGTTATACCATTACTATATCTAAGTAGAAACTTATCATTTATTTTGTACAGGCTTTAATAATAAAAAATACGTGTTTGATATAATTTTTTTTATTTCTAATAACTATATTATTATATCAATATCTCATAATAATGTCTAATGTCCCGAGTGGTCCCGGCATAGAATAGGCCACCTCTTTCTTTTCCGTGGATGTCCCAAAAGGCGACCAAGGGAGGGCGAGGAATCGGCAGCAGTGTTTTTCCTAAAACATCTCCAAAGCCGAACTGCGGTTGCCAATCCGCCTGCTAAGCATGACAGCTATTGGAAAAATACCCCCAAGGGGCAGGGTTGTGTTCAGCAATGGACAGTGAAGACTGGTGATAAGTGTCTAATATCGTATATCAAATATATCATAATAGGAATTCTTTTAAAATATGCATCAAAGACTCTTAGTTAGGTATTCAGTAAAACGTGTAATAGCTACGAGTATATTTGTTTTACTTTAAATACAAATAAACCAATTCATTGAAAAACCAAATTCATAATTTACAAAAGAGATAATGTAATTTTAAACTTAGTGCTCATAAAAAAAACACAAAAAAAAAATTACGTCATGGAAAATGCAAAATAAAATGAATTAAAGTATTATGTGCCGAAAAACAAAGCAAAACATGTTATATATATGCTTTTTATTTATATTTAGTGTTAACACTAAACATAAATAATCCTGCAATAAACTTGTAGGATGAAGATAGTGGTAATGATTTTATTAATATAATAAAATTCACAGTTAACTAAGACTGGCCATATTGAAGCACGTCCTATAGACAGCTAGGCGGCCGCCTAATACAATACACTCAGTGTCAACTTGACGCAATTTCGCGCCGTGAATCAGCTAATATAAAACTGTCACAATGCCAGACATCTCATCGATACACACAAAACTGTTTCATCACCTATATGTGATTTTACAATAAATTTATTCAGCCTTCATTAATATACGACTTTATTACAAGGACTTGCCTTGTAAGTATGCAATTTTTATTATGCTTGTATGCAAAGTTCTTACCCAACAATCGCCATAATACGCTCAAACTCTTACTAGCTTCAAACCCTCTATTAAATCCTACTACCTCTCCCTTTAGTACTATTATTATCTCAATGTCCTCTACCCAAAGGTTATGTGGAAGAGATTGCTTAGCGATAAGGCCGCCTTTTGTGTGATACAATTCTCTCATTATTATTTAATGTAATTATTATTTTTTTACTTAGTGCAATAAATAAATAAACTTTCCCCCCACGAACGCTCAGGCTGTGGAATGAGCTCCCTGCCAAAGTTTTTCCTACAGACTACAGTATGGGGTTCTTTAAAAAAGGTATATTAAGGTTTCTTCAGAGTCGGCAACGCGCACGTGTCACTGTGCAAATCCTAGTGCTGCAAGCGTCCATAGGCTAGTGACCGTTTACTATTAGACGAAAACAAGCATACAGTGCTTGTTTTCCACCTTTGTGATACAAAAAAATATATTCTTTATTGTCTACTCCATACTAACAGCGCTCTTAATACTGCAGTCCAATTTTTAACCACAATAATAAATTAAGAAATGTATCTCTCTTTCGTATGATAAATACAATGAAGGTCATTTTATCTCATATTTACGGAATACCGGATTTGAATGGAGACAAATCCATTTTTGGAAATTCAAGAATTTGTGTATACAGGAGCAGTCTTGAGGGACGCCTGAGTACGCTGCCATATCTCAGTTACTTTAGCTTACTTTAATTATGCGCTTAAAGGTAGTTATAAAGTTTTTAAGCTCTACCATGTATCTGCGATGCGATGTTTCACTTTTTAAAATCTTTATAATTATGTTAGATATAGAGAATATACATATAAAATTCATGTAACTTGAATTATAATTCAAGACAGAACTTCAAAACTTCAACCGCGTTCAGGTATTACAAAACAAACATACTTTACTCACATACACGAGATGTGCATAAAACAGCAGTATACGGAGAACAAAATTCAAGAGCTTCAACGCTAAAATAATTTTCGTATGTTTCGTATTAAAGCGCTACATTAATTAAAAGGTAATTTTTAAAACGTTATTCCCAGATTTGGGTAACAGTAAAAAATGTGAAAAAAATAAATATTAAAATTTGATCCATAAACTGTGTGTTTAAAATTAATTTATATGAATTGTAAGTTACACAAATTTAATAAAGATACAGTATAGATCACTTTCTAATAATACGTATAAAACTAATAAACATATTTTCAAATTACACGAAATTATAGCTGATACATGTTTTTTTAATCTGTGTGTTTAATTTTAAATTTGGTTTAAATTTTGATATGAAAATATAAATTTATATAAATTACGTATCGGAAAGTGGAATTACGAATCTTTAATATGTAATAATAATAATAATAAACTCTTTATTGCGCGCAGTAGAGATGTATACAAGGAGTATTTATACAGAATGTGCATATACAAAAGGCGGCCTTATCGCTAAAAGCTTTAATGAGGTAAAGAATTATGTTTTCAATTTAACTTGCTAGAACTTTAGTAATTTTTTGTTCACTCAATTCAATATCTTAAGTGCGCATTTCTTAATCATAAACTGCTAGGCTAGTTCTCATAAAGACAACTGAACTGAAGGTATTCATATGTTAAATACTCAATATCACACAGACGTGACTCATCCATGTTTGGATGACACTATTTATTCCAAATATAGACACGAGTAGGCAGTAAACCTCGGTTGCATTGCAATACTTAGTAAAAATTTGTTCCATAAGAGAGTTTATTAATACCATAACTATTTACAGAATATGCAATTGTATACTTGTATTAAATGACAAAATTTAAACATTATTTACTAAAAAAAGTATAAGTAAAGTATTTTTGAAGCTATTTAAAATGTTAATCATCCAATGAGATTCTTATTACTGTCACTACTTGCATGGGGTTCTTCAAAAGGGGGGTAAAGAGGTTTCTTCGTGGGACGGCAACGCGCGTGTCATACCCCTGGTATAACAGGCGTACATAGGCTACGATAACCGCTTACAATCAGGTGAGCTTGTTTGCCACCTCAGTGGTATAAAAAAAATACTGTCACCGATTTAGATAAAGTTTTAGAAACTTCAAAAGCAAAATTTTTTTATGCAACTTATAAATAAACAAGCTGACGGCCCACCTGATGGAAAGTGGTAACCGTCGCTTGTAGTCATGAACAGTACTATGGACATAACAGAGTATACCCTTCACGAGTTGTCATTCCTGAGGTCTAAGAAATTATGCCTCTGTACCCTGTAATTATCATATCCCACCCCAGCCTTGAAACCAAAACACAAGCATGCAAACACAACGGTTTTACGGTAGAAACACAAATGGAACAGAGGTACCCAACCAAATAACTTTTGTACAAAGTCTCCCTTTTGTAGTATATGAAATAATTTTTATATTTTCAAATAAATATTTTTATATCGTTATAGTGGATAGCAAACACACGGTCCGCCTAACAGTAAACGATTTTTATAACCACCGATAAGATAATGCTTTATTAACACCGTAGCCTGTATATACAATAATTTATTTTACATTTAACGTTTTAAAATTAATATTTTATTGGATCTCACTTTTTTAATCTCATAAGCGTGAATAATAAAGCAACCGACTTGATAATTCAATCAGAGACAGCTGCATATTTTGTGCAATAACGCCAACCACAGAACTAAATCTGCGATCAAGACATTTGTATTACAAAATATCACGAAGTTGGATGATTATTATGTATCACAATTGTGTTAATTAATTAACACATAAACCTCGTTATATATCTTATGACCAATTTTTATGTATTATTATTCAATATTTTTTTTTAACAAATTAAGGATAAGTTCTTAGTCTGGAGAATAGAAATTGTATTACGAGCGTAACTGTGCCGTCCACTGCTGGTGGTCATTTGTCTAACATTTTAGGAGGCTAAAAATAAAACAAAGTTTTAAAGGCAACATTAATTACACATTGTGGTCATCATCGTCATTATATCAGCATTTAACTACCCACTGCTGAACATAAGTCTCCCGCTTGGGGGTTTTTGCCAGTAATAACTATTCTTGGCAGGCGGATTGGTTACCGCAGTTAGGATTTAGAGATGTTTTTAGAGGGACAAAGCTGCCCATCCCTCGCCATCCCTTAGTCTTCTCTAACGACACCTACGAGAAAAGAAGGGATGGTCTATTCTATGCCGGGACCACACGGCCAATTATTTACTGCGGTATTTATTGATCTTTATCCTCAAAAATATATAGACCATATATGTATAATGAAACAAGAATAAAAGCTTCCGTATAAAAATGTGAATTAACAATTAGCGAAATAATCACATTAATCACAAAATATAACTAAAAATAACTTATTTTTGATATTTATCACTAATTAACTGAAATATAATTTGGATAATGTTTTTGTACAAAAATAAAAACATTCATAATTAACTCAATAAAATATTACCCAATAAAGAGAACCGATTACCTGTGTATACGCTCCACTTTTCACGTAAAATAGTGATTTACACGAAATCTCAACAACAATATTTTGATAAGGCGTAATAAAAACAAAACCAGTTCCGAGAATTACAGGTTTTGCGCTCTTTATATTGACATTGTGACCCGGTTACTTACCTTCTATAATCAAGCTAGAATAAGTTATCGCAGCGCAGCGAAAAAGCAGTGTAAACTGATGTTCTCGGCTGTAATATTTAAAATTTATTACTTTTTTATAGAAATAAACAACAGATTTAATTAGAAAATGTAATAGAAATACCCTAATTTAACTACAGAATTTTAAGACAACGAAGCCCCCACTATATACTATATATAAATTTTATATGTTAAATAATAACAAAAACTTTTACAAAATCGGTTCCATATGCCTACACTGCAAGGAATTTTGGCGTAAAGATAGATTGTTGGAAATATTTTAAAGTGCTATACTATATTCTTAACTTTAACTTTCTTTTCTTTACCTACTTGACTTGTAATGAGTTCTCATCACAAACATATTTTGCACTATTTCAAAATAATATTTTTATTTAACTGTTGTATAATGTTCAACAGCCAAAAATAAATAATTTCGCGGAACTCCGCAAACTTTTCTACGGATCCTTTAGAATCCGCATTTAGATCCTTTAGCACCATGTTTTTTTTTTTTTATAGAACTTAGAATGGCAAACAAGCTGACGGCCCACCTGATGGAAAGTGGTGACCGTCGCCTATAGACATGAGCAGTACCATGGACATAACAGAGTATACTGTTTCGCCCATGATACCCCCCATGCGTTGCCATTCCTGAGGACTCAGGTGTTATTCCTCTGTACCCAGTAAATTCACGCCATATCCCACCCTTCAAACCGAAACACAGCCATGCAAACACAACTGCTTCACGGTTGAAACACGAATGGGACAGAGGTACCCAAGCAATCGACTTTTGTACAAAGTCTCCCTCTGGTGTGACAGGGTTCCCAAATGTAAATTTTGATATTTGACACAAAGTTTAAATATTTTTCTCAACATTATTACGATTTCCGAAACTTTTCCGGCACATTTGCAATTTGCATTGTTTTTCACTAGGTTTACTATATACGAGTACAACGAAGTGAACGACGAAAAGAAAGTCATTTCTGCAGTTCCTATTTTTTCCCTCTCCTTATCTTCTATAACGTACTTTGCTACATACATACTCTACTGTATATATTACTTAATAAGATACCACTATATAATTTACAAGTTTTAAAACTATTATCCCATTTTAAAAAAAAAATTACCTAAATTTCCCCAAGCCCATTTCACATTTCTCCAAGAATTTCATTTCCCCAAAATTTGGCGAACAGAAAAAATTTATACCCAATACTGGCAACGTTAACCCTTTAGGGATCGTTGTTGTATGCTAAAGGTTGCTCTACTTTGCACGAAAAAAAAAAGAAATGCGTATACTCATAACTGTAAAAGCCAGATTGCTTGGTCTAGAGATTTACTTCATTGACTCTTACGACATCCTCAAAATTAAAAGAAGTAATGACTACATGCAACAAAAAAACGACAACTTACGTATTCTCAATATTTACACTAATGTGTACAATAATAATGGTTATATTATAATAACATTAATTACTGTAGTAATGAGGCTCGCATGCGCCGGCGCTGTCACCCGCGCGGCGTGCACGCACATTATCCGGTGCAGCGCACCGCGGAAACTAAATACGCCATGCATCATTTGCTATGCACAAAATGCACAATGCGCATTGTAATTGGCGGCATGATTATTTGTAAAAAAAATTTGCGCTCGTATTGTTTGATCCATATCATGTAACTGTAAATATACAATTTACGGCCAGTATTTATTAATATATTGTTAAAAGCTTCAATAGTTAAGGTTATAGTTAGGGTTTTTACAATCGTGAAATATAGAAACATACGTTTTAAAATTTACCTGATATTAACATCAATCATATCTGAAAATTCAAAACCTAACAAATGATTATTTTTTTAAAGGCGATATTATTATTAGACTCACATCTGCAATTGTTAACAATGGGGTCTAATGAACCCATTACTAATAATATACCCTATCAGGTTGACCTCCACGCGGTTCCCCCTGGAAACCGTCGTGGTTAATTCTAGTGGAATTCGTCACGATGGGCTAACTGACCTGCTTTCATCCTCATCTATCATCACTCGCTGGTACCCCGCCAGCGTATACCGATAGCGCAGGTGGGGTTTCCATTCCATTATCACCCATTAAAAAAAACTCACAAAAAAAAACGAAAACCGGAAATTTGTAGTTATCACAATTTTTTATTATAATTTGTACGGAAACCTCGGTACGCGACCGACTCCGACTCGCACTTGAGCGATATTTTTATCATCAGGAAGTCATCATTTTTGTCTTAACAAACAGATGTTCACAATTCAGCGATAGAGATGTACGATTTTATAGTTTCAATTACAAGCAAAGTTACGCGGTTTATAAGTAAACTTTCGATTACCATCTGGTTCAGTGGGCCCGGCTGTCTTGATTACCGCTTACCACGCGATAACTGTAGACATAAAAAGTATAAACGTTATCTTTATGTAATATTTTCTAGTTCTATATACACACCAATGTCCAAGGTCACACAGTTATTTTAAGCATTTTTATCCCTAACGAACATTCGTCACATTGACATGAATTATTATTTTTCATAAATACCTGCTAGGGATGGTGGAGGGAAGGGACTGTTAGTAATGCGAACTATCAGTTCCATTGCTGGCAATATACCCTATCGGGTCGACCTCCATGTTGTCCCCCGGCGTATACCGTTGGCGTAGGCGGGTTCACCATTCCATTATCATCCATTAAAAAAAACACTAATAAACATTCGCATAAAAAAAACATTTATGCAATACTTATGCTATTTTTGTACTTCTTACGAGATATAGATGTGATGTTTTTCTATAATATTAAATAATGTGTACGTATTTACGCAAGTCACCCGGTAGCGTACGACTATTTACAAACTTAGCCGCGTTTTAATCTCTATATAACGTTCAACATTCCGAAGATGCACATCAGTTTGACGCATCTCCCATAAGTTCTGGTCATCTTTGTTTTATTCTTTTTTTAAGACAATCCTCAAAATGAAATCGTTCGTAAGTTTTAGAGATATTATTAATAATTGTGTATACCTGTGGGGTCGCTTTTGAAATAAATTCAAATAGATCGATATTGGAATTGAGAACTCACACCCTTGAATTACGTCACTTGTCACTAGCGACATAATGGTTCCATACTGTTCTGATAGATGCATATTGGTGCAACTTGCCAATGCAAACTATTGTAAACCGATCCTAATTACAGCTAATTCCTAACTGTTGTTACATGAGTGCAGTATTAAATTGTCATAGGCAATATTTTGGATTGAGATCGATTTTGATTGAGATCGATGTTGGATTTAAGAGGTATCCTACTGTTTGTTTGTTTGTTTGTTTATTGATTATTATTATAATTTAATTGCTTTCTATTTGTATACAATTATTATTTTCTTTTGTTTGTTTTGTTTTGAATTCTTTTGTTCTTGTTTTGTGCGCTACTGTGTGGGCCGCATGCTTCTTCGATTAAATTATTTCTTTCTTTCTTTCTTCTTCTTCTAGTAGTAGTAATAATAGTAGTTTGGTTCCTATATTTAAAGATTAGGTAATGTCTTCAACTACCAGCAAACAACATGCTTTCTAACTGCATTGGGTTGACTGGAAGAGATCTCTGTCAGAGATAAGCCCACCCCATTAAATTATTCTCTAAAGTTTTTCTATACTAAAATGCTAACTATGGTTCTCGCATCCATATACGTATTAATATATCTACAATCGAAAACATATATTGTACATTTTACTCAATCTGCAGTTATTATTTTTATATCATCCACTAACTGTCCACTGATGGACATAAGCTTTCCCCATAAGGGGAATTTTGCCAGTAGTAGCCACGCTTAGCAGACGGGTTAGCAATCTGCAGTAAATCTAATTAATTCAAAACTCCACCACTCAGGTGTATGCAGTTCTCATAGCAGCTTCAGTACTGGCAGCCCCTGAATTGAAGCGCAACAAACGAGGTTATAACACAGGTCAAAGCGAGCTAAGTTGGAGCGATAGCGATAGCAACAGCTGGAAACAAAACTCGAACGGAAATGGCTGGAATCTAAACTCGAACGATAATGGCTGGAGTCAAGGATCGAATGGAAACGACTGGAGTCAAGGTTCGAATGGAAACGGCTGGAGTCAAGGTTCGAATGGAAACGACTGGAGTCAAGGATCGAATGGAAACGACTGGAGTCAAGGTTCGAATGGAAACGGCTGGAGTCAAGGTTCGAATGGAAACGGCTGGAGTCAAGGATCGAATGGAAACGGCTGGAGTCAAGGTTCGAATGGAAACGACTGGAGTCAAGGATCGAATGGAAACGGCTGGAGTCAAGGTTCGAATGGAAACGACTGGAGTCAAGGATCGAATGGAAACGGCTGGAGTCAAGGTTCGAATGGAAACGACTGGAGTCAAGGATCGAATGGAAACGGTTGGAGTCAAGGATCGAATGGAAACGACTGGAGTCAAGGATCAAATGGAAACGGCTGGAGTCAAGGTTCGAATGGAAACGACTGGAGTCAAGGATTGAATGGAAACGGCTGGAGTCAAAGTTCGAATGGAAACGACTGGAGTCAAGTATCGAATGGAAACGACTGGAGTCAAGGATCGAATGGAAACGACTGGAGTCAAGATTCGAATGGAATCGGCTGGAGTCAAAACTCAAATGATAACAGCTGGATTCAAGGTTCGAATGGAAACGGTTGGAGTCAAACATCGAATACAAACAGCTGGAGTCAAAAATTGAATGAAAACGGTTGGAATCAGGGATCAATCGGAAACGGCTGGAGTCTAAACTCAAAAGATAACAGCTGGAATCAAGGTTCAAACGAAAACAGCTGGGCTCAGAATTTGAATGATAACGGAAGGAGTCAAAGTTCGAGCGGAAATGGCTGGAGTCAAGCCTCGAAAGAAAATGGCTGGAGTCAAGCTTCGAGTGAAAATGGCTGGAATTCGAACACGAATAATAACGATTGGAAACAAAACTCAGAAAAAACCAACCAGGGTTCTTCCATCACAGAACAAGCTCCCGTTTCTAAAATAATTGCAGTGAAGAAACTTGTTGAAATTCCTAAGGTAATATATCTACAATTTACCTTTATTTCTACAAATCGGTAAAATCTTCAGAATGTAAAAAGTTTTTAACAAAATACAGTTTGTCTACAAATAATATTTATGACCTTATAAAATTTATAATGTTTCTCAGGTCGTGCAAGTACAGAAACTCGTGTCCGTGCCGAAGCTAGTGACCGTGCCCGAGGTGGTGAAAGTGTCCAAAATTGTGGAGGAGCCGGTGCAATCCTCGCTCGGTCAGAACCAACAGCAGACTTCCAACAGCAAGTGGTGAACGATCTCACATGTTATATAAATAGGAGAGTGCTCGCAAAATCCCTTCTCACCAAAGGGAGACTTTGTACAAAAGTCGTTTGCTTGGGCACCTCTGTCACATTCGTGTTTCTACCGTGAAGTAGTTGTGTTTGCATGGCTGTGTTTCGGTTTGAAGGGTGGGATATGACAGTGAATTTACTAGGTACAAAGGAATAACATCTGAGTCCCCAAGAATGGCAACGCATGTGGGGTATCATGGGCGAAACAGTATACTCTGTTATGTCCACAATACTGTTCATGTCTATAGGCGACGGTTACCACTTTCCATCAGGTGGGCCGTCAGTTTGTTTTCCATTCTAAGTTACATAAAAAAGTAGCGTTTTTGCCCCGTTATTTCGTACGCATAGATTTAAAAAAAGTGAAACAAATCACTTGTAAATGGCGTATCAAGATGAAACATTGAATCGAATCGCATCGAATTTGGTGCAGTACTTTTTGCGTGATGTCGGAACAAACAAAATTTCTAAAAAAATATTAGTTTGGTCCTATTAAGTGATCTTCTGTACCTATTATCTTTTCTTAACTATTATATCTCTCATGTACAGACATTGTCTGGTTACATTTTTATTACATTATTGTTATTATTTCCTGTATTAGTAAGTAAGGTATAAACTAGTCTTAACAATAAAACAAGACTGAAATATTAAACTGCTTTTTATTGTATTACTTATAACCTCACCAACAATTTATATATTATTTCTTACTAGCTGTATCTTGCGGCTTTGCTCGCGTAAATCATTATATAAAATATCCATATTCCACAATACGTTTTTCAAGGCAACCACTCTTTAGAATCAACTTCCAGCAGCAGTATTTCCGAACCGATACGACATAATAACCTTCAGGAAAAGAGCATATTTCTTTTTTAAAACGCCGGCAGCACACCTGCAATGCCTTTGGTGTTGTGAGTGATCTTGGACGGCGGTAATCACTTACCATCAGGTGAGCCGCATGCTTGTTTACCACCTATTATAAAAAAAATACTATATGCGCATATCAAATTTATTTCAAATCCACTTAGAAATGTTTACATGAAAGAATTCCTCACAAACAAGAATTACAACTCCATGTTTTAACGCGACGGTAGTACGATAATTAATAACCTCTTTACCTTTACCCACATATTGCAGGTAACTACATAAAAATAAATGATAGGAACATAATTAACCTTTAATTTAATATATACGCACGTATCGATCTATTTAAGCAATAATTATCAGGTTTGTAAGTTACCGATGTTATAAATTATATATATTCCAATAAAAGTGCCTATTAGGTAGCGACGTCATTTCTGTATCAAATATTCATGACATTGTAATACATATCTAGTAGGTGTCTGGGTAATATACTTTTGTTACTGCTACTTATTGTTGTATAGACGCTATGTGACACATTCATCATTATCTTCATCATCATTATTCGTAAATCATCATGTAATAATGAAAGAAAGTAAGAATTTTTATTCAAGTAAAATTTAGATATTATATCTAATATATCAAATTCTCGTATCGCGGTGTTTGTTACCAAACTCTTCCGAAACGGCTTTACCGATTTTTATGAAATTTTGTGTGCATATTGGATAGAGCTGAGAATCGGCCAACATCTATTTTTCATACCCCTCAATGATAACCCCTAAATATTTTTTTTGTAATTTTTCGACAAAATTTTTTATCTTTATTTTACTATGATTTAGCATTGAAAAATACATATAACTTCAAATTGTCACGCTTTTACAATCAACTCATGTTTTTTAATCGCAATTTTTATATTCCGCAACAGGGTTGCAAGATGGCGATCAAATATAATAATTGTAGTAGGATAAATTTTCATGTATAGTTCTCGAAATAATGTATATGGTAAAACAACGTTTGCCGAGCCAGCTAGTTATCTCTATAATATTATAGTACGTATTAATATTTCATTGAACTGATTATTTGTAGCTTATTTATTAGTACTGATGTCGTTCGTACAGCACCCGTGCACTTTAGCTGCCTGCTAACTACGAGTACATGCTTTCTCACTATATTGATTGGCTGGAAGAGATCTGTATTACAAAGATAACTCCACGCTTGCTCACTATATTTATAGCTGTGTTATCTTTGTAATTTATAAGTGCATTAAAGAGTATGTATATATTTCAACTTAAATGATCAATTGTTGATTTTAGAAAAGTTAAATTACCAGTTAAAGTGTCATATAAATGTTGACTATATGACAATGTAGTGAGTCTAAATGACAATTAAATGAAAATGTTTATGAGGAATTCATTCTCACACGCTAATACCTAAACGGTCACGTTCAGTGCCGTTTCGAAGGAATTTTCTCGACACTGTGGAATGAGCTCCGTGCCGAGGTTTTTCCTAGAGACTACAGTATGGAGTTCTTTAAAAAAGGGTATATTAAGGTAAATTCTTTAGGGTTGGCAACTCGCATGTGACATTCCTAGGGTAGCAAGCGTCCATAGGTTACAGTAACGTTTACTATCAGACAGGCTGTATGCTTATTTGCCGCCTTCGTGGTATAAAAAAGTGTAATATTTTGTATGTTTGTTTTGAGTATATGTAAATATAACCGCGTGGTCCCGAAATATAATGGGTTGTTCATTTCTATCCCGTGGATGTCGTAAGAGGCGACTAAGGCAATTTAACAGTTGTAGGATGAGCTGTAGCGTCGTTCTTAAAATATCACCAAAAATCTAACTGCAATTGCCAACCCGCCTACCAAACGTGACAACTACTGGCAAACCCCCCTCCCCCCTTATAGAGAGGCCTATGTTCAACAATAGACAGATATGACAATAATAATAATTTTTATTTCGGACTCTTTTTGGTCCATTAAATATTTATTAGTAACAATATTCTTAAAACGAATGTTAGTAAATTTACATACACAATACACACACACACACACACATATATATATAACATATTAAATAATATACAGATAATCACCGCTGCACAACGATGATAAATTATAAATAAATAATAAAAGAAAATCCCATTATTTCTGTCCTATTTTCTATCTATAGGTACTATTTTGTAACTTTGGATATTCGGGGTAATCTCTGGCACTACTGATCCGATTTTGAATATTCTTTTACCGTTAGAAATGTATATTAGGTAAGTAAGTACTATAGGGCACTGTTTATTTTGATAAATATATAATTTTTTCAACTATTAATCATAATTAATGTAATTGAAGTCGGCAGAAATTCTATAATACAGCGTTCGTTAAATGTTTGATTTGAATGAATATTGGGTATGTTGTATCCTAACTTAGCACCTAGGATACTTTACATTTAGTATAAAAATAGACTTTGTACAAAAGTCGTTTGCTTGGCCACCTCTGTCCCATTCGTGTTTCAACCGTAAAGCAGTTATGTTTACATGGTTGTATTTCGGTTTGAAGGATGGGATATGGCGTGGATTTACAGGGTACACATGAATAACACCTGAGTCCTCAGAAATAGCAACACATGGGGGGTAGTATACTCTGTTGTGTCCATGGTACTGCTCATGTCTATAGGGGACGGTTACCACTTTCCATCAGGTGGGCCGTCAGCTTGTTTGCCATTCTAAGTTGTATAAAAAAAAGCGAAGTGACCAATCTTTTACATTCATGAAAACAAAATTAATAACCGTCGCTATGCCGCTTGCGCTAAATCGTTCATTAGGTACATGTCTACTGTACACGGAAGGAAGAAAAGTCGCCGGTCGCCTCGCCCGCGGCTCGCCACTACATATCGTCGCTTGAATTTTCATTAATTACGTTTCAGGGGAGAAAGTATTACACATAAGTACACATACATTAACAAAAACTAACCGAGGACGTGTCGAACACGCGGCTTAGTAGCTCTACACGAGTTTAACTTCGGTCAACCATATTTCTAGTTATCTAATTTAAAAAATACATATGATTGAAAATTTTGAACGATATAGTACAGATAGATATAGTCGAGAATTTTTTGCTATATATAGTTGGATCTAGTACAACAAAAAATCCGTAGATATTAGCTGTATGTTTATCACAAACCTCTACTCTTTTATATAGATAGATAGATATATAATTTATTTGCATTACTTACAGCACACAAATACATATACAGTAAAAAGAGACAAAAGAATGATAAAACAAGTAACAATCTATTTCTTTGTTCAAATGGTCACAACTCAGTTTATTGATTTGCCTTCAAAAGAGCAAAATCCTAATATTCTATTGTGGCCAAGAGCCACAGTTTTAGCTTTTAAGTGAAATGAGTGAAAAGCAAAATATATGCACTTTTCCGAAACTTAACTACACATCGATCATATTATTCTCCTGAGTCAAGGTGAAGGGCATCAAACACAGAAATACGACGTCCTTACCTGAATAGTTTTCTGGCACTATCCACTCACTACCCAAAAATAGGTACACACTACACTCAAAAACATATTCTTCATACATTCGTCTCTAAAGTAGGAATACCAAGAATACCTCACAATATTTGTATTGATATAATAATGTAGATGTTCAGTAATGTAATGTAAGACTCCGGAGAGAGCCTGGAGATCTGTACTACAGGTTTGGACCTAGTTCAGGCTCCAGACTCTTACAGGAATTAATATTTTAAGTTAAAAGCTAAATAGTTATACACTGTACAATATTTCTTGTGAGTAGTAAAATAAAGATTATTATTATTACTGTCTCGCCACTCCAAATACGTTCAGTAAATATGTTTCAGTAATTACAGGTACAATATAATCAGGACCGTAGCTAGACCCAAGTTTAAGGGCCAAAGAACTTTTTGGTAGGGCAAAAGCCATATTTAAGTGACATCAAATATAGCTTTTGCCCTACAAAACAACAAACAAGCTGACAGCCCACCTCATAAAAGGTAGTAATGTAATAAACAGAGGGCCTACCATGAAGTATTTTCCGAAATTTCGGGACGAACGAAACAGAAATTTGATGTTAAAATTACATAATACATGCTGTTTAAAATTATTAAAAAGGTTAAAATATCATTCCTTTGGACTATTAGAATAAGATTTATGATGAACGAAATGTTAAGCTCCATTTACTGGGTCGATTTTGATACGAACAAAAACACGAAATTAAGCCCGAAATTTCGGAATTTCATTTTATGGTAGACCACCAGAATACACTATGATTACCATGGCATATAACACTGCCCAAACAGAGCTGTTTATGAGGACTAGGTGTTTAACTTCATTAGTCTGGAATTTCACTGCTATATTACCATCGAAACTAGGGCACAACCGTCTAAGTTCAACTGTTTGGCAACAGGGATACAATAGGACAATGATATCTATCCATATTAACAATGTTTGTACTAATTCAAAAACTCTTTATAATGGATCCTATAGAACTTACATATATCAACCCGTCACCCTTCCTATGTCAAATAATTTGCTTTTGCTTGGGAGTAAAATACAAAATTTTTAAAACTTTCTAGATTGAAATAAAATTCCCCACATTAGCACGGATTTCAATTCCAAATAGGTATTTGTTTCTGTATAATAACAGCAACAAATAAATATCCAACTATCGGAAACTGGAGCCACTGGTAGTGAGCCACAGCGATACAGGAGCCGCAGACATGGCACGCGACTTCCGCCAGCACTTCCAGCGGCCGCTGAAGTGTGGCGAGTGGCGAGCGCGGGCGACCACCGCCGGCGGGCAGTCGCAACAACACCCACGCGCTGCGCGGACACCGACATGGAAGCACTTGTGAGTCTAACTATTGCATACATACCACATTGTAAAGAACCACCAGTCGTCCAACGACTTGCATGTCCCGATCCATTGCCATAACAATTCGGGACACATTGCTCTTCCCAAACATGTTCGTTGTGCGACTGGTAGGAAAATGTCCTTTGAAATGTGCATATACTCTTTACTGGTGTTGAAGTTTTAAATGCCTTCGTGTGATCCGACACCTCTCTTGCGGTATAGGATAGAAGTTGTTAATACTACAAATGTGACAATCAAGCCTTACGGCCTACCTGATAGCCTGATAGCAAGCAGTTACCGTAATCCAAGGCCGTCTGCAATATATCAGGGGTGGCATGTATGCACTTCCATTACAATTTTAAATATCTAATTTCCTACCGTAGTATAACAATGGCAGTCTAATCTTTGTCTCGAAGCCATGACACCTTACTCGTGAGTAGTGTAGTGACATTGTTATGGCCATGATGTTATTCCTGCAATATATAATGCAAACTGTTACCAGTTTCCATCAGATCGGTGATCCATTTGTTTCCATTTGTAGTCATTTAAAATGCTGTAGACTAAATTCGTATTGCGTAAATAATATATTATATATTTTTTGTAAAATAAATTAAGACTTTAGATTCAAAAGTGCCTAGTGAAAACAAATGTGCAAAGTGTATTATATGCAAAATTGTATTATATGTACACACTGAAAATACCTAATAAACTGAACTACATAATGTCCAATACTTGTATAGACTCAAGAAATCTTTCGGCATTTAGTTCTCTCTGCCTTCTTTATAACTGCGACGTATGGACATAAAGCAAATTGCCTCCTACTGTCAAATGTTTATTGAGCAACTAGCATCTTTCCCTTTCATAATTTTTAATCTGGGGTTATGGAAGCCAGTTACGAAGGAATTTGTTCAATCTCCCTTATCTGTTTTATACATAATGAAGTGTTTATCATTGCAGATGTCATTGCTGCTGTTGATCATCAGCGCGTGGTCACAAGGCGAGCCGCTCACCGAGGCGGTACAGCGCCGCAGAGACTCGTTCGGTGTTTACGCGAGCGAGTTCGCGCACGACTACGAGACGTTCGCTTTCGCTGCCATCCCGTTGCACTCGCCGCTGCCCATCCTGCATATCCTGTCCCCCACGCCGCTGAGGCTGCCGCTGTACAAGCACCCACGCCATCCAACACTCAAGCCAGCGGACTCGACTCACCAGCACATATACGCCCCATCCATGAATCACCTGCTATACGCCACACCTTTCCCTGAGCGAGAGGAGATCCAGACTACAGAGACGATACTGTACGCGCGGCCCAACTCTAACGGAGGATATACGTACAGACGACGACCGGTCAATAAACGGAACGCGTCAAAGAACAACACTTTGAAGGAGCCAGTGATCATTAGAGTACACAAGTACAGGATTGTTAGAGACTGATGAACTACTTGTATAAGATCGGTATACCGTCGGTCGTTGTACGATATTTATCACGGTGAAAAGGTTGTGATGAATTGGTAATACATTTCTCTGCAATTTGAATAGAAATTGCATTTGTTATTCTGGGTACTAGTAGGTGGCGTTTCAGTATTTTTTGTTTTACTTTAAAATTGTAGATACCTTATGAAGGTAAAAAAAATTATCAAACCAACCAGGTGATAGTTTTATTGTTTGAGTTTAAATTAATTAATTTTTAATCTCTATAGAATTTAAAAAAAAAATTAATTTGAATTAAAATAAATTTTATAAATATCATTAAAATATGAAAATATGTTTTAAAAATTAAATAACTTTTGTTTGAAGTGAACAGTTTATTCTGCGTTTATATAATAAGTTTTATTAAATAGTAATTACTTACATAGTCACTATGCATTTAGTAGATAAATGCTTAGATAGTGCTGTACATAAATACTTACTCGTATATTAACTTAACACTTTCGCTTTCATAATTTATTTATATATTAATTTATTCATATATATAATTTATGTATTTTTTTGTAAAAGACGAGAATTAACGCCATCATGTAATTGAAATATAGATCTTAGAAAAATAGCAACTAACGGTGTATCTTTCGTCCTCTTTTTACGAATTATATTTGCATAAGAAGAAAGGAGGCAACCGTATAATTTACAGTTTTTATTTTATCATTCCTTCTATGTAATTCTTTGTTCTTAAATATAGATAGAGCATCGAGTCTCAAAAAGGGGTCAACTTTCTGTTAGCTAACTGTCAAATTAACTGACTAGTTTTTTTATTAATGTTCTATATACTTACGCACACAGTGTATCTTGACGTATATATATGTAATAATTTAATCGATAAAGTTTTACACATTAAAAATATGCGAAAATTATAAAACAAAATAAATATAGAAGTTATAAAAGAAACACAACTATTTATCACGCAAAACTGTATGAAAAAGTTGACCCGCTTTTCTTCAAGCATTTGTATAAAGACACTGTATGTATATAATCTAAGATACCTATAAATTTATAGCTAACATTGTTATTAACTTATTGTTGTTACTGTATGTTTTAGTGCATTAAAGAATATATTAAATTTACCTAAGATTTACCACGACGTTTCTACCGAGTTAAGCCAAACATGGTCCCGAACTATCGAACATACCCAATGATGTCACAATGGCGTTAATTTCCAGTGTATATAAATACATGATACTATATGACTGAAGAGAAAAGAACTTAAGTCACTGAGTACGAAGGTAAAGCATCCAAAGTGAATGCATGTCAGCTGGCTGTTAGTACCTAGTCCAAGCTGATGTTACTGTAAAACCCGCATTAAACTTTGTACATTTTTAATTAAACAACTAATTGAACAACATTACTCATAATATAACATAATTTTATCACAGCGCAATTTGATTTATATAACCAATCTATAATACAATATACATTTATTTGCCGAGAAGCCATTTTTTATTATTATAACATATTTAATCTTCTTACGTTTTCCTCTTGAAATTTCCGCCTGTATCCTCTGAACCACCTGCGCTATCGATATACACTGGCAGGGCACCAGTGAAAGGTGAGGACAGATAGCCCATTGTGAAGAATTCCACGAGAATTAACCACGATGGTTTCCAGGGGGAACCGCGTAGAGGTCTACCTGATTTTTCCCCCAGGTTTATCCATTGCAAGGTGACAAGTATAACGAAACTATCTGTCGTATATAAGATTGTACAATTAGGCTCTTTAGACACAGTCTCTCTAAGGGGGGGGAGAGGGATTGTTAGTAATGCGGACTGCCAGTCCCATTTTTTTTAATGGGTGATAATGGTATGATAAGCCCGCCTGCACTTATCATCTCTCACTAGTGCCTCGCCAGCGTATACCGATAGCGCTTAGCGATTCCATTAGAAACTTCCTAAGAACAAAGCTAACTTCAGTCAGCTTCAGTCTTATGTCAAACGAACAAATCTGAATTGACTGACAATTTGTGAAACTTGAAAGTTGTTTGTTTTGTTGAGAAATAACCTCAAAGTAACAGAAAAGAATCTCTTGTAAATAAACAAGACAAACCGGGGACTACGATAATACATTGCTGAACGAAACTAAATATTTTATTTTACAATTAAAATAAGTCATTTGTGATAGAAATATGCCACGAGTGAAAATTGATTATGTTGTGAGTTTCAGTAGCGAAGATCAAGTAAGTTTTAAATTCAAAATTATAGAGCAAATAAATAAAGGAACAATTTTATTTAATGTAATAAATACCGGTTTAACTTACGTATAATTAGATTGGAAAATCTCGACTAGTTTTGGGATCATTTCGTGAATTAATCAATTTAAATCAATTGCTTAATTTATTTACTGCATAGAGAATAGGTGCATACTTCAGTTACAAGAACTTTACAATTTTTTTTATTTCTATCCTAGAAAAAATAAAAAACTAGCTGTGTTTCACATCTGCTAGACTTTACATAAATTAGGATAAATTGTATCTCTCTGTCTCCACATAAATGCTTTTAAAAAAACAGGTCAACTTTTTCATACAATTTTGCGTAATAAATGGTTATGAGTGATTCCTTTATAACTTCTATATTTATTTTATCTTATAAATTTTGAATCTTTTTAATGAGCAAAAACTCATTTTATTTATTAAATAATTAAATATAGATACATCAAAGTATATTGTTTGTGTATATAGAACACCAGTAAAAAAACGAATCTGCTAATTAGCTGACAAAAAGTTGGCCCGTTTTCAGGTTTGATGCACTGTCTATATAATCTAAGCTTACGTTTTATTCAGTGTATCAAATTTCATTCATATCCATACAGTTATTTAAGCATGATTCATGTTGATAATAAGAGAAAATGTTAGACAGATGTCATTACACAGTCATATTATCTTTCTGTTTTGTTTAACATATGTTCAACTATTTTGCTGGAAGTAATATTGTAATTGTATTGTATTTTTAAGGACAATCAGGTTAACAACTTACTGGCCTGGGAAGTAGGCAAGAAGCGATGGCTGTGTAAGAAAGGGGAGTCTTCATGCTCAGTAGTGCTGCAGCTGGCCCGAGCTGTTCAGGTTCATGTCATATTATTATAATCATGTATTAATAATTATATTATACTATATTTAAAACATACTCAAAATAAAAAAAAATATTTATAAAAATATGTCAAATGAAGTAAAAACATTTGTCTACTGTGTGTCTAACTACAGTTTTTATATTTTATATATACTCACATTTTGCGGAGCATATTCAAATCCAGTTTTAGAGGGCAAGCCTTAATATGTTCCATATTTGTTTAACAAAACTAATCAGTTTCACTGGTAGAACTCTCTCTTCAAAAGATATTCATCATTTACATCATTCCATTTAAAGATTTCCATCATTTTGAAAACTCAACATTTTTATATTTAGCATACAAAAATCACGGCTGTTGCTAGCGATTATTTTTTATAACTAATTCTTATCAAATACATACTTATTGCATTTGATAAGATACTATTGATAAAATAAAATAAATTCTATTGAAGATAACAGCCACTCTGTATTTAGACAAATTATTTTCTGAAGAGTAATATATAAATTCTTATGTTTAAAAAGAAATTTTACCCTTCTCACTAATGATACGAGTAGTTTGAAATTATAACATGTACTGTATATGTTGTGACTAGATATCAGCGATACACATTGGTGCATATCAAGCTGCATTAGTGGAAGTTTTGGCCGGTAGGTCTGAGACGCCAAATGATCCATACCAAGTGAGTAATAGATGTCTCTATATTACTATCAATATCAAACATTGTGATTATGAAATGTTAAAATTATGGAAGCCCCTTATACATTTATAACTTATTGATTATTATTTATCAATCATATCATGCAACATTGTGATTTGTTCAAAAATATAAAATTTGAATGTTGTGTTTAAAATTGCCTTGCATCCTTATCTAATATATACAAGATATTGTAAACTATTTTACTCATAATCAAAGTGTATCACAGTGCTTTGTAACATTAAATGATGACCCGTCACCTGGTCATTAAAGTTAAAATATCTACATCATATCAGCCCTTGACTGTCCACTGTTAAACCCCAAACAAAAGTTTGAGGAAAAAAGGAAAGGAATGTTGGAAATGTGTAAAAGAAATGGTAAATGAGAAGAATAAGGGACTTAGGATACTGCTGTTGCGGAAAGGACTGTCCTATGGCACGGGGTGCATACTCGTTTGCTCGTATACTAGAATCGGACAGATTTCTAGTGACACCTTTGACGCTATGTAAAAATTGTTACGACAAAACCAGTTACCACCACCATAACCATTACTTTCATCTAAAAACTACTGAACCTATTTTAACAAAATGTCTGTGAAACCAATCTGTAAGTATATCCTTTCATATAGAAAAATAATTTTCCAAATCGGTTTACAACTGACGAAGTTATGAGGTAATAAACATAAAAAAAATACAAGCGAATTGAGAACTAATTTCTTGTTAAACTGTTTTTTATAGTGAAATCTGCCAAAGTATCCCATCCCGGCCAACCGCCACCTGCGCCATACAACATGCAGAATATAGCTTACTTAATTGATCATCGATAATTTATGTCGTATTTAATTGTGTAACGTATACCGTGAAGGTGGTAGTGCCGAGCTGCGTGTTCCTGTCGCCGGGCGAGTCTCGGCGCGCGGCCGCCGCCGACCGCGTGCGCAGCTTCAGCGGCGCGCAGCTGGCGGCCGCCGCCGCCCAGCGCTGGGACCGGCTGCGGCTCGTGTGCTCGCAGCCCTACAACAACCACTGCCAGGTGCGCCGCGGCCTGTGCTCCCGCCCGTCCCCAGCTGCTGCTGTCTTTGTGTGTAGGCGGTGGTTACCACTTCCTACTTGCTCATTTTACCACTTCAAGTTGTACATAATAATAATTTATAATGATTTTCCTTACAGTTACCTAAACTGTGTGAAATATAGGTACTTGAATATATGAGCGTGATGTCTGTCGGCAGTACGGGCTGTCGTTCGTGCACGTGTACGAGCCGGAAAGGGCGGGTAACATGGCCGCGCCGCCCGCCGCCGCCGCCGCCGCCGCCGTCGAGTCCTCGGACGAAGACGACTACCGGCCCGGCCAGCTGTTCGCCGCCGTGCACACCGCCTCCGCAGACACAGGTCTCCGATGTTTACATTTCATGTTACTTTAAAATATATGTATGTTTGCTTTATTCAAATAGACTTGTTTACAGCCATTTTTAAATCTTTTTTATGAATGCAAAGTTATTTTCTAGACAAAGTTGTTATCTGTTGAGAAGAGCCCACAAGAAACTCAATAGTTATTCTTTAAAAGAAGAATTTATGTTAAAATGGAGTCTCTATTTGAGAGCCTCGATATTCAATCCATTTACTTTATATTTCCAAACCCATTTGACAATTTGAGTATAAAAAAAACTATCCAGACATTTGTCTCGCTCTCTTTGTCTATACCTTTCTATAAAAAATCTGTTTTACATATGGTATAAATAACATTTACAGGTGCACAAATAAGAAAAGCTACGTCACAAATACTGAAGAATATATTAGACTCCTCGAAACTAGTAAAGTCGCCCATAATTAAAAATAGCTCCAAAAAACAAAATATCGCAAATGATGCACCGAGCACTAGTCGAGACAGGGACGGCCTCGTGTACACGGACGAGGACAACGAGCCTCACAGTAAAATAGATCAAGTTGTAGAGAGACACCGGCATGAGAAGAAAGACAGGGACGATGCACCCAAAACAAATGTGAGGGATGGTGACAGCAACAAGAAACATAATAAAGATGTTGCCAAATTAAGTGTTAAACATGAAAAGAAAGAGAGAGACGATGCATCCAAAACGAATGTCAAGGATAACAACAATGACAAAAAACATAAAGATGTTACAGATTCAAGTGATAATTCATCTAAAACAAATAAACATAATGCGCATCATACAAAACATTCTGACAATGGTAATAAACGCGACTCGATGAAAAGAAAACGTGACGATGACGAATCGAGTAGCAGATCGCCACATCATAAGACGGCCAAAGATAAATCATTTGACGCTGACAACGGGGGAAGCAGTAATCCCGACGAAATTTTATCATTGCTTAATGACGATAACGGTGTGTATTAACAGTTTTAATTACATTTTATCGCTTTGTTAATATTATTCTTATACTTCTTTTAAATATTAAGGAAAATTTATTTTTAGAATTATAATATACGGGATAGTAGCGTTCCTCTTAAAACATCACTAAAGTCTATGGCCTGCAGTTGCTAACTCGCCTTATTAGCGTGGCAACTGCTGGCAAAGACTTCTCGAGGGGGAGGTCTACATTCAGTGGTTTTTTAGAAGTTTGTCTCACCAATCGGTTAGTGTGATTTAACGAACAAAAGTGGTTTACAATCGTAGTGTGATCACCTGAATAGTTATTATAACTGTATGTAGAAGCAAATATATTTTTCTCAAACATGCTTGGAAATGTGAGCATTATTTTGACAATTTTCTTCGAGATAAATCAAAATTGCCGTACTGGCCAGATACATGCGGGGGCAGCGGCCGGCAAAAGTTGTATGAAAATCCATATCTGTCGTGTTTTGCGGCCAGATAAATTACTATGTAAACTCATATCCGTCCTGTAATTTAAAAATGGAATGACCTTTTACTTCGGAACATGGCTACCAAGGAGGTAACTAATAAAAGGTTTTGTTTAAATTTCGAACGGGCTTACAAATAGAAAGCCGTTTATTGAAAAAAATAAACAAAGGAACATTATGACGCGTGAAAAATTATTATTGTTCGTTATTCGTCATTGAACTTAAAAAGTAAAATTGTGTTTTTGATTTTCGCGCATTGTTTGAGAAAAGTACTATACAAGCCTTGGCCACAACCAGGCATTGATGGACTCACGTATGTGTGCCTCGGCTACGCCTCCGTCCACATTTGCACGTTCATCGATCAATGCGTCAGTTGCTGGCCGCTGCAGTAGTGTACTATTTGGTCAGTATGCGGTGTACTCGTATATATAAGTGGTGGTGGGCAGCGGCGCAGCTGGCGCGGGTGCTGGCGGGCGCGTGCTTGGTGCTGAGCGGCTACGTGCACCCGCAGCGCGCGCGGCTGCAGCGGCTCGCGCGGGCGCTGGGCGCGCGCCTGCTGCCCGCCTGGGGGCCGGCCTGCACGCATCTCATGTACGCACTTATATCGAGCACTACTTGGTGCACGGTTTATTCATTTAAATTTTTTTTATACAACTTAGAATGGCATACAAGCTGACAGCTCACCTGATGGAAAGTGGTAACCGTCTGTAGACATCAGCAGTACCATGGACATAACAGAGTAAACTCCTTACCTCTTTCTATTAGATCAGTGCAATCTCTTGCCTCGTTCAAGAGGCAGGTAAAATCTCATTGTCTATCTCTATTTGCTTTGACGTTTACTATGTGTGATTTATCTTGATCTATTTAGTATATTTATGTTTATGTATTATTATTTATATTATATATGTATGTTTATATATTGTAATCTTATTTTTATATTTAGAATATTTTTCATTTTGTTTGATTTCTTTTATGTATTTACCGTGTCTGATTTGCGCCATCTACCTTTCTCTCTGTACTTATTCATTTTTTATGCCAGGTTGTATGTAAGAGATTGTTTTCAGCGATAAGGCCGCCTTTTGTATATGCACACTCTATATAAATACTCCTTGTATACATCTCTACTGTGCGCAATAAAGAGTTTATTATTAGATATTATACTGTTTCGCCTATAATACCCCCATGTGTTACCGTTTCTGAGGACTCAGATGTTATTTCTCTATACTCTATGGTAAATTTATACCATATCTCACTCTTCAAATTGAAACACAATCGTGCACACAATTGTTTTATAGAAGTATGAATAAGACAAACGTATTCAAGCAATCGACTTTTGTACAAAGTTTATCTCTGGTAATAGTAGTTTATATTATTATTTAATTATTTTTAATAATTATAGATGTGTGTATGTATGCGTGTGTTATATATATGTATTTTGCACATATAAAAATCGATTAGTTGTGTCATTACGCAAATGTGAAAACGATTCATGGCTTAACATAGATATAAATTTGATTATATATTGACTGTATTTCAGCTGTACGTTTTCTAAAAAAATAATTAATTGAGAGTTTTTTGTATAAGGAAACATTTGAGAAACGATCTATTGATCGCAATATTTTGCTACTGCTATTGTTAAGTGTTGGTGGTGGAATGTTATAATCGTGTGAGGAATGCGTGCGCGTGCGCAGCTGCGCGTTCCCGAGCACGCCGAAGTTGCAGAAAGCATACGCGAGCGGGCAAGTGGTTCGCGCGGCGCGCGGCGAGTGGCTGCAAGCTTGCGTCCGCGCGCGGCGCCGCCTGCCGTGGCGCTGGTTCGCCAGCGAGCGCCGCCAGCGGCTGCCGCCGCCGCCGCCCGGCCACCCCGCCTGGAACCCCTCCCCGCCGCCACCCGCGCCCGGTTAGTCGCAACTCATCTACGATAAGTACTTTAGCACCAGTGGTCGCGTGCACCGTATACGCCCCATATAAAACTAACATGTCCCATGTCACGATATTTTTGTTCACGCTAATATTTAAAACCACTCGTCCAGTTTTAATAAAATTTTGTTAATATTTATTGACAACTCCTTCTTAAAAGATAAGTTTTTATTCCAGTAAAAGTGTAAATAGTAAGAAACTAATAACATTAATCAGATCTAGAGATGTGCGAATTTATTACCAAAACTGATAGCGATTAATGCTTTGATAATTATAGTAAACAAAATGTCGAAATGTTTCAATATCGATACTAAATTTAAAATTACACTTTAATTCCTTGGCGCATATTTAAGAAATGTATCTTTAAACGAAACCGCCCATATGAATATTGATGGAGGAAGAGAGCGGAAACAGATCGCCATATTGCAATGCTACATTAATCAGTGTTTCCATATACAAAATTTAAATTGTTAGTTTATGGTTTTAGAATAAAAAATATTTTATGTTAAAATATAATATTAAATCTTGACAATCTTCATAAAACAATATTATTATTTAATTCAAATGCCAGATGGCGTATCTATTAATTATGCACATGTCGCAATTTTCTTGTATTCGGTGACCTGGCCTATGAGACTGTTAAAGTTCCCTATCGTTCCTACTGAAGCGGTCGTCTTATTCGACACCACCGGTAGCACAGTGCCTGGTTGTTCAGTGCGCATAAATAATACCAACTCCCTAATTATTATTAACATACAACCTTGTTATGAGATAACATGTCGATATGTTTCCTAACATAACAATATTACAATCTTATATTATATAGATAGAATGTCTCCATACAAATTCTTCGAGAAAAGCGGCTCAACTTTTTCATACAATTTTGCATGATAAATAGTTAGGAGTTTCCTTTATAACTTCTATATTTATTATAAATTTTGCGCCTTTTTAATGTGTAAAAACTCATTTTATTTATTAAATAATTAAATATAGATACGTCTAGATACATTGTGTACGGTAAGTATATAGATAGAACATTGATAAAAAAACAAGTCAATTAATTTGACAACTAGCTGACAGAAAGTCGACCAGTTTTTGAGACTCGATGCTCTATCTACTCGTATGTAATGTAAGATAACGACATTTTGAAGATCAAACTATTAATATTTTGTTAATATCACTGATATTTCGACAACATCGCCCATTCCTAATCAGAGCAGCCAGTGTACCGCAGCTGTTGACCGCCGTGCTCGTTACAGACGACTCCGACACCGACGATGATATAGAAAAAGTGCTTCAACAACAGAAGAGAGCTCGAAGTAGCCAGTCGCCGAGTCGCCGCCCCGCCGGGACGGGGGAGGGAGCGGGGGAGGAGGAGGAGGAGGAGGGGGACGACACCGACACAGAGCTCCGTCCCAGGTAATATTACAGAAGTAAACAACCAGATACGACATAACTCTGTGGTAAATTGAAAACCATTTTTTATAAAACTGGCGGTATTTCAAAATTGTATATTTTATAATAGAAAAAAATCTAAAATAAAATTATACTTTTTGAGAGCCTATTAGTAAATAAATATATATATAAATAGTTTTAAAAAATACCTTGTCAACATACTGTATTGATCAATCATGGTAAAAAGTAGCCTGTAGCCTGTTCTCCTCCGTCCAGACTACGTATGCGTCGAATTCTGTATGACTGATTGAACCCTTAAGGCGCCAAAATGCATACAAACTCATTTGCACGTTTATATTAAGTATTAGGAAACGAGTTATAATACGGTGTAATATTTTTAACCGTCCAGCTTTGCTGACTCTGACTACACTGATTTTTGTATTTACACTGTTTTTTTTATACAACTTAGAATGGCAAACAAGCTGACGGCCCACCTGATGGAAAGTGGTAACCGTCGCCTATAGACATGAGCAGTACCATGGACATAACAGAGTATACTGTTTCGCCCATGATACCCCCCATGCGTTGCCATTCCTGAGGACTCGGATGTTATTCCTCTGTACCCAGTAAATTCATGCCATATCCCACCCTTCAAAGCGAAACACAGCCATGCAAACACAACTGCTTCACGGTTGAAACACGAATGGGACAGAGGTACCCAAGCAATCGACTTTTGTACAAAGTCTCCCTCTGGTACTGTCTTTTTGTATTTACACCGTATGTCTCTTTTTGAGTAATGTGTGATAATGGAATGGTAACCCCGCCTGCGCTATCAGTATACACTGGCGGGGCACTAGTGACGGATAACAGGTGAGATTTTTTTTCTTTTAATGGGTGAAAATGGAATGGCAACCCCCCCTGCGCTAACGGGATACGCTGGCGGAGCACCAGTGAAGTGTGATAGATGAGAATGAAAACAGGCCAGTTAGCCCATCATGATGAATTCATCAGGAATTAACCACGATAGTTTCCAAGGGGAATCGCGAGGAGGTCGACCTGGTTGGGTATATTGCTAGCAATGGGATTCTCAGTCTCCATTACTAACAGTCCCTTTCCCCCCGACAGGTGAGAAATAAAAAGCAGGTCTGTTAGCCAATCGTGACGAATTCCACTAGAATTAAAACATATTAGCTTCCAGGGGGAACCGCGTGGAGGTCAGCCTGATCGGTGTATTGCTAGTTATAGGGAAATTAGACCCCATTACTAACAATCCCTTTCCCCCCTGTCTCTTTTTGTGTAAGAAACTGTGTACTTATAGTTTATTTATAGGCGAGTGTATGGTGCAGGGAGGCGGAGGAGGAGCAGCAGCAGGGCGGCGGGCCGCTGCCGGACTTCTTCGACGGGTACACGTTCGCGTTCGCGGACGACGTCGGCGACACGTTCGATAAGAGCCTGCTCAATAGATACATCCAGGCGTACGGGGGCGTCGTCGTGGACGTGAGTTAAAAACTGAACTCAGTTAGCTCCTTATTCCAATAACCATAAATAGAGCAGGAATAATCTTTAATAACCATCGAGTATGTCTGTACATCCTAAAGGCCCCATATAATTTATTAGTCAATAAAATTTAAAAGAATAACTCGTAAAAAAAAAAACATTTACTGTGGCTCCACAATTCGAGAGCATGTCCCTTAACATGTCTAAAAACATTGGGATCTTTGGTGTCGACATCTCTAGTGACGTACAGTTCCGAAGCCGCTTCGGAGGTGTAGGTAAAGCTGGCATTTAAAAAACGGATCCCACCGGATCAGCTCGAAACATTAATATGCTCTACAAATCGCAGATCCGGCCCCCCACATGGAGTATTGCTGACACTTATGGGCGGAAACATATAGATACGAGAATTACGATCGTGCCTAATTAATTAATAATCTGTAAAGACAATAATTATAATGAAGTAAATAGATTTACTATAGTATTATGGAGCCTGCATGATTGTTGTGGGTGATCGTGGGCGGCGGTCACTTACCACCAGGCTAGCCGCATGCTCGTTTGCCCTCTGTATTGTAAAAAAAAATATTCTGTTAAAAATTCAAATTGCCTTCCACGACTAACATTTCTATTGTAACAAAATCAGTTTTATTTCAAAACTATGGAAATTTTACCAATTTATTCTATCAATTAGTATAATGCTATGTAATTAGTAAAACATGTATAAGTAATAAGAATTTTCCAAATCATATACATATCTGTCACGCCTGTCTCCCATTAGGGTAGGCAGAAACAATACAACGCCAAATCCGTTTATAATACGCGCGTGTGTGTCGCAATGTTCTGTGATGTAGGTCCGTGCTCAGCATATTGCTGCAGCGCTTGAAGCGCTACAGCGCTGTTTTTCAGCAAGAACCATAGCGTCACAAGTAAAAAACAGTTATATAAGTAGTGCGTTGGTATTCTATACATATACAAATCTACATTATACATATACACATACATGTACATACACAGACACATACATATATATAATATATATATATATATATATATATATATATATATATATATATATATATATATATATATATATATATATATATATACATACACATATACATACACACATACACATACATACACATTCACACACATATACAGAATAAAGTAAAAAATGAGATGGCAATATATAGTGTTCTATCACCTAACCTAGCCATACTATTACTGTTCAATCAGATCAGCGACGCGGGAGGCTGTGTTCATGCATTGAGTGCAACTATATAACTAATGGAGTAATAAGGTAACTTAAAAAATATGATCGAAAGGAGCACCTCCTTCTTTTGAAGTCGGTTAAAAATTTAGAATTAGCAAATATTTTGCATTGAAACACAAAGATTCGTAAGAAGCTAAAATACATAAAAAACTATAAGTCGACTAAAATGTAATTGAAAATTGTTAATATTAATTAAGAGTATAATGTATTGTATTGATATAACGGTGTGTAAGTATTTGTGCTGGTGATGAACAGAGGCCACCGGAGGAGGCGGCCGACGTGGACTACGTGGTGTGCGGCGGCGGCGGCGGCGGCGGCGGCGGCGGCGGCGGCGGCGGGCGGCGCGTCCGCGCCGACTGGGTGTGGCGCTGCCACGCCGCGCGGCGGCTGCTGCCCAGCGGCGGGGGCTGTGTGTAGCGCACTGTCACCGTCACCGTCACCGTCGCCGTCACCTCGCTACTATTGTAACAAGTGTACCAACACTATGTACACAATAAACTTGTTTTTTTACCTAATGTGTATTGTTACGTATAGTCAATCCTTTTCATCCCTTTCAATGTAGTAAACGACCGGGTAATCGGAGGAACAAAATACTAAACAGCAGTAAAAAGAAAATTAAAAATAAAAGCCTACAGGTATCTAACCGCTTTTTATTTAATGGATGATAATGGTATGGTAAGCTCGCCTGCGCTATCAGTATACGCTGGCGAGACACCAGGGAGGGACCGCGTAAAGGTCGACCTGATAGGGTATTTTTTTTGATGGGTGAACGTAGTATGGTAACCCCGCCTGCACTAACAGGATACGCTGGCGGAGCACCAGTGAAGGGTGATAGATGAGAATGAAAACAGGCCAGTTAGCCCATCATGATGAATTCATCAGGAATTACAATTCTTGTTAAATTCATCACGATGGACTAACTAACCTGCTTCATCCTCACCTATCATCTGTCTCTGGTGCCACAACACATTTGTACCGTGTAGTAGCTGAGTAGCTATGGAATATAGAACTAATATTTCAGGGTCATCACACTGTTCTACACTATTCACATCTATCGGAGATCTTTCCATCAAAGAGGTCAGCAACGTGGAATAACAAACAACATTCCATGTTGCGTATCAAAAAATAAAAAAAAACAACTCATTTCTGAACAGTTTATTAAAAATTATAATATTTAATACAGAAAAAGTTCAGGTCGCTCAACTGAATCACGTGATTAAAATGTAGAGCCAATACCGATGATGTTCTGGTGTTATCACGAGTGTCACTCGGGACCTCGGGACCTCGGGACCGAATGATTATTTGTTATCACGGTTAGGAGACAGTGGCCGTTACTGCGACGTGAGCAGCGTCAGTTTCTCATTCAACTGCAACTGTGTTTTGATCAACTGGGCAAGGGTCACCACCTGTGAAATAAAATAACAAAATTAGAAGCGTACTATGTACCAGAGGGAGACTTTGTACAAAAGTCGTTTGCTTGGGTACCTCTGTCCCATTCGTGTTTCTACAGTGAACAGTTGTTTGTATGGCTGTGTTTTGGTTTGAATATCCCACGATATGGCAGTTAATTTACAGGGTACAGAAGAATAACACCTGAGTCCTCAGGAATGGCAACGCATGGGGAGTATCATGGGCGAAACAGTATACTCTGTTATATCCATGGTACTGCTTATGTCTATAGGCGACGGTTACTACTTTCTATCAGGTGAGCCGTCAGCTTGTTTGCCATTCTAAATTGTATAAAAAAAGTACTATCGAATGAATTATTATCGACGTGATACAGACATGTTAATTTGCGTATATGCAAAAAAGTATATAATACATAATATTTATGTAGCTGATTACTGTTTATGCGCATAATTCTTGTTTTTGAAAAGTTTATTTTTCATCAGCAACACATTTACACCAAAATGTATGTAGCTAAAAAGTAACGCTTCCACCGGCCATAAACTGGCTTCAAATGTTTAAATCTAAACTGAAACTGTGTAATTTTACAGAGTTTCGTTTTATTAAATTCGTAAAAAAGGCGGGGGCTGCAGTACCATGAGCAGGTCCTTGACGCTGGAGGCGAAGGCGTCTGCGAAGGTGTCGGCGGCGAGGTTGGGCACGGAGTGCACGAGCTGCAGCAGCTGGCGGCCCGCCTCGTTGTTGGGCGCCACGCGCTCCGCCAGCACGTCCTCCACGTACTGCAGCACCTGCGCCGCCGCACACACACACACACACACACACACACACGTTAAGCGGGAACTATACACGCAGTGATTTTATCACAATGGGCAAACTGACCTACTATATTATCTATCATCATTCACTGGTACCCTGCCAGCATATACCAATAATGCAGATAGTGTTACCATTCCATTTTCACATCATGGATACGTATTTTCTGCCAAATTCATGCAGTAGTTTATTTTATAAAATATGTATAATAATTGCTCCAATGCTTTAGAAGCAAATTTATGGAAGAGGAGGGAGAAAGCTGACCAAAAAATAATCATTTAACTTGGAGCTGCGAAATAACTGTAGTGCAGCTCTAGACAATGATAGAGTAAATTTACACAGGAGCCAAAAGGTATAAAGAACCATCTACAAGTGTCAGATAAACAAAAATTTCAACAAAATTGATAAACTTTTTCCTTTTAAAGTTGGTTGAAAATTCTCTTCTTATTGATTATAATATTAATTATTGCACTTGTAAAAAAATAATACAGCGATTAGTTTAACAATTTGTAAACAGGGATAGGCTTATCTCTGAAAGAGATCTCTTCCAGCCAACCCAGTGCAGTGACAGTCAAATTATAATATTGACAAAAATATAATGTCATAAACAACAGAGAAAATAAATGCACATACCTGATCAAGCAATGATGACAGTTTTGATGCAGCTTCAGCTACCTGAGCGAGATCCAGCATTGGTTGAACCTGCCGCGATCGGCCTCCGGGCCCATGGTTTTCTGACATAACTGTAGTCCTACTATCTGCAAATGTGAACATGGAGTAATATTGATAAATAAATAATTAATGTGAACAATTATGTTTATGTAACACAGTGAATTTATTCTAATTGTAATGACTTAGAAGCTAAAAGCAGTATCAGTGGTAGCAATAGTGGAGGGAGCGGAGTGTACCTACCTCGGGCTCGTAGCTGGTGAGGGTGACTTGAATGGGCGTGAACATGCAGCCTGGCTTGCCGCGCGGCACGCCGAGCGCCACGCACACGTAGGCACGCAGCCCCATGCGGCCGCCGGCCAGCGACGTGTCCAGCGTCACGTGCACTGGCTCGCGGCACTCGCGCGCGTAGTACTCGTGGATCACCGAAGAGTGGTTGGTCACCTCGTTGCCCGTCGCCCACCACCCTGTGCCATACAGTCATAACTACAGCTGCACCTCACTTCACCTCATCTCATCTGATAGGTGAAGGCTTCAAACACCACACTAAACTGAGTATGCACAACAATAATACTTTTAGTATGCAAAATGCATAATTTTAAGATATTATAGAAACTAGTAATTATAATTTATTTTTATACTTTCACTTGATTGCACAATTACAAAAACAATAGTAAATATTAAGATGAAGAGATACAAAAGGTGGTTCTAATGAATGGCAATCTCTTCCAGACAATTTTTACAAAACTTCACATAGTTATATTTTTTTTCTATTTTTCTATAATTTCATTTTTTCATATGCAGGGTGCATGGTTTGAAGTTTGCAATATATATGTATATAAAAAAGATTATAATAAATTTTATCACTTGTTTAGTATACATTTAAATCAATATTTGCATGCCAGGCTGCTACCTGACACAGACAGAATTCTGTGACAAGGAAATCAAGCTATAAAAGAATATATGTGTAGATAATTAGTTCTTTATGGAATTCTAAAATGCAAAAATCATTCCAATAGACACATGGCTAACCAAAAATATATGCAAAATACACTTGAAAAATATTCATCATCATCATATAGGCATTTAACTGTCCACTGCTGATCATAGCCTCGCCCTTGGTGGGTTTATCCATAGTTGCCACACTTGGCAGGCAGATTAGCAACTACAGTCAAGCTTTGAAGATGTTTTAAGATGGATGCTACTACCCATCCCTCACCCTCCCTTAGTCGACTCTTACAACACCACGGCAAAGGAAGGGATGGCTTATTCTATGCTGGGACCACACACCTTCAACATATATAATTCATTTTATATATTTATTTATTGTTGTAATTAGAAATTGAAATATTAAATATAGAAATAACACCTATAAAAGCTAATGATCATCATCTTATGAGGTAAGTACCTCTTATGACACCCATGGGAAAAGAAGGGATGGCCTATTCTATGCCAGAACCACACAGCAAATTTCATCTAGATTATCATCATATCAACTCCAAACTGTCCAACACTGAACCTAGATCTAATATACAATATTGCAACATTTTATACATAAAATAAAAAAAAAAACTGTTGTAAATGCATAATATAATAGGTAATATAATAAATGTATATTGCATACTACTTTTATAACAAATAAATAAATTTAATTTCATTTCATAATAATAGCATCTAATAATAAAGGCAGCCTAACACTATGAAAGGGCATGCCTACACATCACATCATTTGTCCAACGTCGACAACCATTTACATTCTATGACCGATTAAAATGTGGATAAATGTTAATACAAAAAAATCAATTCTTTTAACAGTCAGAATATAATTTTAGTGTGTATTGTGAACATTAGGCCCAGTTAGAAATATTACATTTATCATATTTGATTAAACAGAATGTAAACTTACCAACAATGTTTTCTGAAGCATTTACTCTTCGATTCAGTTCATATACATCCATAGCATAGTTAAGCTCGGCCTCCACTTGGTCCGCATGTTCTTTGTGGGGTACGCAGAAACAGTTCGTCACTTCCACTACACCCTTGTCTGATGTGCCTGTAGTGTATTAAACATAACATAACCTCAAAATGCAAATTAAAATCTCGGTTTTATTATCGCAAGAAATTTAAATACTATTATGATAACTTATTTTTCCAAATATAAAAATCTAGAAGTCTATTATGTTGAACATTAAATAAGTGATCATTTTACGTATACAAAATGTATCAAATTGTAAGGCATGACGTCGACGTACACCTCATAAAAATATTCTTTTTAATTAGAAAGAAATTTTACAAGTATTTACCAAGTAATGTGCCAATAACTCTGTGTGAATCTGCATTTCGGCGTTCATACGCATCCACAATTTGAAATAAAACAACAGGATGAACTTTGACAACCAAATTGAGAGCCATTTTGCTCAGAAAAACACATTAGAAACAAACAGTGAATAGAAAGGATCGAAAAAGTAAGTGTGACCATCTCATTAATAGCGAAGCTGCCACAGACTGGGCAAATAATCTACCAAAATCTGTCACACTTTCCGTCAAAAATGCCAGAAATATGCCTATAAGAAAATAGAAAAAATATGTATATCAAATTCAATGCAATTTCTTTAATCAACAAAATATGTTTAGTCTCCGTATCAATATTTACCTTCAAATATTTGTCTTCATTTTTCAAGTACATACATTTTGAAGACATCTTTTTGATCATGTTTTTAATTGGCTTAAAGGAGACACAGTTTCCGTGTTCCTTTATTTTTTCTTTTGTATTAATTATAGCTGAAACATGTTGGTTTAAGAACTTATTTTTGTTTTGTTTAGATTCACCTGAAAGAATATTCTTCGCACGAAGCGTTTGACATGGGCAAACATAATAAAGCTTTCGTGAAATTTGTAATATTTGGATATTTTTATAGCCCTATTCACATCCTGAATTTTTTAATCGCTCCCGAAAATTTGTCTACACTCAAAATTATGCAGGTGGTGCTACTTCGTCCTGATCAATAAATCACTTACACTTTTAACAAATTTAATTTGTTGAAGTTCATCATTAACTTTTTGAATCTTGTTTTCGTCTACTATGTTGGGAAAATTATTCGCAACGTTTAAAGTTGATGTAAGATCTTTGTAAAGCATATGCTATGGATCCAAGAATTGTAAAACTTTGAAAATATTGTTCAATGTTAAACGTGTGAAAATTCAAGTTAGTTAATGTAATTTTTTTAATCCTTAAAATCTGCCACTTTTGTAAATCATCATTATGAACTGCCACAGATAAATGTTAGGAGAGAAATGTGCCAAAAAAGCAAAAATCTGCCACAAATGGTCACACTGAAAATAAAAGAATTTTGCGAAGTAGCTAACTGACACCCTTAGCAGGGGGGGGAGAGGAATAGATTGTTAGCAATGGATTTTGACAGCCCCATTGCTATTAATATCCCCTATTAGGTCAACCTCTACGTGGTTCGGAAACCATCGTGAACAATTCTTGTTTAATTTGTCACGATGGGCTAACTGACCGGTTTCATCCTCACCTACCATCCTTTTCTGGTGCCCCGCCAGTGTATACCGATAGCGCGGGTGGGGTTATCATTCCATTATCACTCATTAAAAAAAAAGTCACCTTGGGCACGAGCCAACTGGTTTGATTTTTTGTCAGCTGATTTTCTTTTTTTTTATTATTGTTCCACAAAGATTTCAAATGTTCTGTATACTTACTAAAATAGTTAGCTACACACGTATCTATATTTAATTATTTAATAAATGAGTTTTTGGGTATTACAAAGGTGAAAATTATAACATAAAATATAAAGGACAAAAAATAAAACTAATAAAGAAAACATAACCGATATTTATCTTCAATTTTAAGTATAAATAAAATATTCATAGTTCTTTTAAAAGAATTCGCGCCATTTTTAGTTGTTACAAATCTTCGAACAAATTCCTTACATTTTGAATTAAAATTTCGTAAATGAGATTTCGTTTTTTTCAATAACAATTAAAAAAAAATATATTTGTATACGTATACTATTTTTTCGTTTTTCTTTCTGGAATATCTGAAATCTATATTGTAATATCTCCGTAACACTCATAATCTTAATCTTCGTTTTAATAATTGCCTTTCACTTCTTACACCACTTCACAAAATCTTTATGTCAGCCTCTCTCACCATCCAAGCTTCACGACTCTGGAACGCACTGCCTTAAGGTATCCGAGAACTTCCAAATAAATGAATGTTCAAGAGACGGACTCTTGAATATGAATTTATTTGGAAGTTCGTCTTTATCTTTTATTCATTTAAATAATTTTTATATATGTTCACGATTCACTGTTCATCCCAGAGGTTGCCTGGTAGAGAAAGGTACTAGCATTAAGTTCGCCTTTTGTACCATATTTTATTTTGGTCAATAAAGTTATTTAAATGTGTTGCCGATTGCTTTAAAAATCGAATTCGGAAGATTTCTATACAATTACACTTCAAATATAGATCCGATGTCAGAATTAATCAAAATGGCTTTTTTATTTTCTTTGTTATTTGAACGATTGCTTTTTAAAATTGATAATTAAGAATTATATTTTAAATATGAATTTAGTGTTGATGACAAATTGCTTTTAAAACCGATATCCATATAGATTTCAAATATGAATGTCAATATTATTCAAATTGACCAATTTATATTTTATAGTACAGTTATAAGACCCATTGTTTTTAAATCGAATTCTGATGATCCATATACTTCTTCAATTATTATATATATTTGTTACCAGAATTAATTAAAATGTCGCCATTTGTACATAAAGTGATGAAAGTATTTATTTGGATAAGGATTAACAAAATAGTATTAAGAAAGCAAATTTAAACTTAAGCGACATTATCCGTCCATTTCTGAAATATACATGGATCCACAAATATAGATTTTTAATCTTCACCTAATTTTTAAAGCAATATCAAAAAATTATGAAGTTCCATCTACCGCAATCTTTGGAATATAATAAATAATCTAATTGTGTAAATAAAGTTAAATATTATAATGGATTATTTAATTCTAATATTTTAAATTACGACCTTCACTTATTTAAATTAATCTAAAGTAATAATTTGTAATCTGGTAACCCTATCATGCACAAATGTATGAAAATTTGTATGGAGCTTCACAAATAGATCTCATATTTTTATATGAAAGGATGAAGATTAGTCTTTAGACATAGCTTCTCTAATCTGTGGGATACTTCTGGAACAATATAATCATAACTATGCCTGTGCCATCGGTATGCTCTGATGATGTAGTGCCCCACTAACTGACAATGATAAGTAGCGTTAGATCAGTTGATCACCAGACATTTAGTTTATTTATTTTAAACTCTTAATATAATTATTTATATACACAGATATTAAAAATAATTAACTATTGCCAAAAATTATTAATCACAAACCAAGGGAGACCGTGTGAAGGTCGACCTGACAACCCTATCAGCTATATTCTTAGTAATTAAGGGTATATTGCTAGCAATGGAACCCTCAGTCACTGTTAATAACAAACCCCATGTATTAGCATAGGGTAAAATGGGATGGAACTAGTAAACCTCGCTGGTGGCGACAAATGGAAATGGTTGTTTAAATCTAGAATCTAAATCTACTTATCAATTGAGGAACGTCTAAAAATAAACTATAGTAATATACTGTTTATTATTTAAACATCTTTATTCTAAAATATATTACATTAAAAGCTACATACATGAAATTATGTATAACAAATTTATTAAAGCTATCACAAATTAAGACATTCTCTGTTCATTTTGTCTTTGATGGAGAAGTGTGGATGCGGATGCCATGCATTTCTGCTATTTCTTTTTTCAGGGAGTCTGTCACTAAGCGATGTTGTTTCACTGTTGACAATCCTATAAATTCTTTCGCTTCAACACTAATCTGCAACAGTAATCATAAGACAAATGAATAAATTTTATTTTATATTTAATTATCAGTTTCAGAGACAATAGTCATATATATAACTATTTTTTTTATCAATTTTACAAATCAAAGACTTCATCTTATTCAAATATGACAGTATCATTATACCGTAAACTAAAAATACATTTTAATTTTAACATAATAAATTAGGTGGTATAATATTCTGGCAGGTATTGAGATGGAATTACTGGGACAGGCCCACATCATAATAGTTTATCAAGACTGATGTCTAACGCCCTTATTCATAAGAACTAAAACATATTTCAACTATTCTTTTGTTAATTATTTATTCTAGGAATTGTAAATAAAGTCAAATAAACTATTAAAGGGTACAATTTCTTTCAAATTGGAAATTTAGCACAAAACAAAAAAACAAAACACTTCAATAGTTAATATAAATAGGTAATAAATGCATCAAGAACTTCCTCTATTCACTGCACTCTACCAATAAATATTGGATATCTTCTAATTAATAGATCAGGTCATAATGTTACACCACTTTCAATAATATTAACATATTGAAGACCACATTGCTAAATTATTTGTCACATATAGAGACCAGCATTTAACAATGAAAATCATTTTAAAATGAACGATATGCCACACCAAATTAACTAAGTGTACTTGATATATACAGTATTTTCTGAGTGGCCCGGATGTCTTCCACTCTTTGCTTTCACGGCCATTCTTGCCGAGTTTCGAGAGTATAAAGCTCTTCAACGGAAATAATAAAAACAAAATTTTACGGTGACATAAGGAAGGGGTCCTGCGCTTACCTGGCCTCCCCACTCCTCTTTCTCGCATTCCAGAACACTTTTATACGAACTTTCCGGACAGACCTCGTATAGAGACCAGCATTTAACAATGAAAATCATTTTAAAATGACGATATGCCAAATTAACTAAGTGTACTATATACAGTACTAGTGGCCCGGTACGTTCTTTGCTACGTATAAAGTGAAATAATAAAAACAAAATTTTACATGACCGCATGAATAACAACAACATGCTTGTACTGTCAGCACTGAAAAAAGTTTCAATTTGACAGCACAATCCCCATCCTAAAGAAAGTTTGAATTTGGCACAAAAGTCCCTATTAATAAAATGATCCACCATTTATTGAATTTATTTGTTACAAAAAATGTGAGAAATGAAGAACTTGACCGATTTTGTGCAAACTTCACATAAACCATCTACTAAATAGTCTAAACAAAGCCTAAACATTTGGTTTGGATAGGTGAGCCCATTCTTAAGTTATAAAATTTTTATATATATTGTTTTCTATGAGGGTGCAGCAAATCAATTATTGTACATAAATTCAGTAGTTGTGTAGTCACAAAGTAAAATATGTGTACCTACCCATAAGCATGAGGGCCGGTAATGTTGTTGCAGAGTGACCCAGTGGGCATGCAGTCTTTAACATGTTACAAAAGAAAAAAAAAACACCTGTCCAATAAGTTATCATGTAAACTTTACTACAAATTGAGCACAAGGTATTGATAATTTCCTAAGTTTTAGTGTGTAGACAACCTACCTCAAACATTGCACCACATCCTCCAGATATATCTTCCACACTGATGTAAGTGATGCCGGGTAGCGTTTTCTTGAGAGCAGCTGACAACTGTTGTTCTTTGGTCTCACAATTTCGCTCAAAAGGACTTACTGCAGCGCCCGCGCCATTTCCACTGCTACCAACGCCAGATATTGTCCTTGTCTGCCATTAGTATAAATAAATGTTCAGTAACATAAACATAATTGATTATAGTCTATAGCGATTTTAGTATTTCTAATAGGAATAATAAAAAACTTCAGATAAAATCTTAACTATAACCTTGTATAACCAAAACCAAATTTGATGCATTTTTATCAATAATATTATACAAGTAATTTAAGAAAAACAAAGACTTACCTACCAATTTGTTAGTTAAAGGCTCCAATGATTTGAAAAAGTGGCGCAACATGGTTAAATTAATTTTTTTTGCGATATCCTGGCCATTCAGTTCGACCTTCGTAAAAACACAATTTCAAAAAAATTATTGACACAGATTGTCACAAAGCTATGAAGCAATCAGTGTAAGTCAATTTCAGCCTAAGAACAGTGTATATAACCTAAGAACTTGATTCATTGTCAAAAATATAAGCTGATGTGTACTTTTCGTCCTCTTTTTACTAATTATATTTGCATAAGAAAAAAATCATATAATTTGCAGCTTTCGTTTTGTCATCCCTTCTTAGTCTAATACTATGATTTCAGTCATCTTCACCACAATCACGCATATGCTGGCAGCATTGCATAAATGTCAAGTGTTAACGTCGTAATGTCAATGACAGTGACAGTGAGTCTAGTTTATTTCTTCGCACGTGTTTAAGTCTAACATTTTTTAATCAAACACAATTAATAATTAGATACGTTTATTTATTCAAAATGCCTCCTTACAAAGAGGGGCTTAAAAGAAAAATTGATCAAAAAGCAAAAGTACCTACGTCTAAAACTGAATCTGAGGAAAAGGTAAACATGGTTAAGAACTTGTTTTATTATTTATGTTTAAGATCAAGATAAAAAGTGCAATAAAAATATATGTACATAGGATAACTGGCCTGAAAAAGACGAGGAATTAATCCAGAGCGTGTTGGACGGCGACAACGATGACGTGACGGACTCTGAACATGAAGAGGCAGGCGAATCCGCCTCTGACAATGAACAAGATGTAAGTCGTTACATTCTTCAAACTGTTTCGAGTTCCTATGGCTTATTCACTGACTATTCAAACATAACATTTCTATAAAATAAATATATTAATATTATCTAAATAATCCACATTTTAGTTTATCATGTTTTAGTTTAGAGATATATATAAATAGTATCAAGTATAATCACATAAAAGTCGATATCATATGTCACATATTATGGGCAATATAAATTTTAATAATATCACAATTATTTATCGGTGTTACTTTTTGCTTTTGTATTTTATTCATATAACAAAATTAATATATAAAAAATATTCTGTTCTATCCTGTTCTAAGTAATGCAATAGTATTTTGTTGCATGTAAATTTGATTTACATTATGACACTGATAAATGATTTAATATATAAGTATTCATATTTGTTTACTTGTGTTCTCAAAACTGCTTATGGGTAGGAGAAAGATAAATTGGTATTTTATATTAGCTTTAATAGGATTTTTTTTTATACCTTGTATTACAATAATGTAATACAAGGTATAAAAAAAAATCCTACAATAACGTAATATTCATAGGTATCTTTATTTTTTTTTAAATAAATATATATCCTATGTTAGTTCCTGATAGTGTAGCTTTCTATAAATGGAAGAATTCTTAAAATTGGTTGAGTAATTTTTGAGTTTACCTATTAATAATAATAATTAGTCTTTATTGCTGAAAGTGTTATATTTTTTCTCTCTTAACACGTCAAATACTAATCTACATTTCCAATTACATACATGACATAGGCCTCCTCAAGATCCTTCCATGTTTCTTTATCTTTTGTTAATCTATACTGCAACTTTCCTGCTATTCTTATTATGTCATGTATGTGTATCTTTTCTTCTGGTATACTTACTTTCATGTTTTATATCTTGGATACCAGTCTGTGATTGATTTAGTCTATGTATTATTTTGTCTTCTCATGATATATCCCATCCACCTCCACTTGAGTTCTTTTACAGTTTTTACTACATCTATTAATATTGTTTAATTTATCTTTTAATTTTATGTTTAAAATATTTCTTGCAGTGTTGTTTAGGTAGATATGTAGTTTATTTAAAGATTTCACTATTATAGACCATGTCTGACATCCATATGATAAACATGGTAATATACACATATTAAATTAGTTTATCCATTACATAGTTTGTAATGATAAACTAATTTAATATGTGTTAATATAATAATAATAAAATAATTTAATAAAATAATTAAAACAAACTTAAAAAAAAGGGATTTTTTCTTTTTATAATAATAGTATAGATTTAGTTATAAATATGTTTTATGGTAATATAATATTCTTCTGCATAATAGAGTTATTTATATTTCCAGGGTGTACTGTTTAATGATAGCGCCGACTCCACACTTGGTGAAGATGTGTCTGCAGACAGTGCCTCAGACGAGTCCTCGGTAAGAACAGCCACAGCTGATAATCAAATATTCATCATATTGAGCAATTTAATTAAAATTTTGCACAGATTTTAGTGTGAAATATTACAAAACTATTTAATTATATATTAAGTATATTGTAATAGGGAATCAATGATAAACTAATATATATATATATATATATATATATATATATATATATATATATATATATATATAAAATAAGGTCAATATATATATATACTGACCTTTATTATATATATTACACCTTATTGCTTTTATTAACATTTATATAAGTATTTTCATACTTGCTTGACCTTTCATAATCATAATTAAATCTATTTCTTAAAAAAATATCAGATGGTAATATATATATATATATTGGCACTGAATTATTGTATAGGAACTAACAGATTCAGAAGATGATGACACTGAAGAAAGTGAAGAAGGTGATGATGATGAAAGAAGAGATAATGACAGTACAGAAACAGAAAGTGTTGACAGTGGAGCAGAATCAGGAGCCAGTGGCGTGGGGCAATCAAACAATGAGTCTGATAAAGTAACACAACCAACAAAAGGAAAACACAAAAAACAAAAAGTGAAGCAAATAAAAGAGCAGGCTGCTAAAAGTAGTATTGATGCATTAGCTGACAAAATTAAAGAAACCTCAGTCACTATTAAACCTGTTGAACAAAAAGGTGTGTTTTTTTTATTTCATTGTTGTGGTTAACATTTTTATTGTTTTTTAGTTGATATTTTATTCAGCTGTAAATACTTTAACATGTTGTTGTCACTGAAGTTTATTAAGGTATGAGTATTTGTTAATACTTAATTAAGCTTGTATAAGGTAAAATTACATTTCAGAAAAAAATTATAATTTTAGGTTATTGTTACTCTTATAACTGTGTCAAAATATCAACCCACTGAAACATACACAATTGTGGTAATAAAAAAAAAATCAAAAAAATTATGAATTTTATGAGCATTGTTGTTGGGGTGTTGGTAGATGAGTACGAGGAGGGCGACTCATCTGACGAGGAGGACCGCGTGGTGACGACGGGCGAGGTACCGACCTGGTGGTACCGCGACTACCCGCACCTCGGGTACGACCTGGACGGCCGCCGCATCATGAAGCCGCCGCAGCGGGACCAGATCGACCAGTTCCTACAGTAAGTGTTTCACAATTGCACACCTTACAGGTGTGCAATTGTGAAACACAGACATACGACACACACATACAGAAACGTAGTTTACTAACAACACACACATACAGAAACGTAGTTTATTAACAGTGGTCATGACTGCGCTTCCAATTAGATTAGTTATTGTTGTGTGAGTTGTTGGAGTGTGTTGTTGTGTGCAGGAAGTGCTCGGACCCCGAGTTCTGGCGCACGGTGCGGGACCCGCGCACAGGGCAGGACGTGGTGCTGTCGGCGGCCGACCTGCGCCTGCTGCAGCGGCTGCGGGCGTCCATGCTGCCCGACGCGGCGCACGACGACTACCAGCCCTGGGTCGAGTGGTTCTCGCGCGAGGTGCTCGCCACGCCGCTGCGTGCCTTCCCCGAGCCCAAGAGCTCCTTCCTGCCATCCCGTAGCGAGCAGCAGCAGATATCCAAGATCGTGCATGCTCTCAAGATGGGCTGGACCAAGACTAGAAGAGAGCTAGCCAAGGAAAGGAGAAAGAAAAAGGTCAGTGGTCAGGAGTGGCATTCGTGCACATAGTGTTTCTCTGAATATGAACCAGCAGGTGATTGCATGAATTGACATTGGTGTCTGTATTTTTTTTTTTTTATTTATTATACATATATTGTAGATATCATTATTTTTGCAGGTAAATAAATAATCCTAATACAATAGTCTATGTTAATTTTATGTCGATTCTATCATGTTTCTGTGGCATCTGTACTTGTATAAAAACAGTAATTACTTAACTTTCCAATTTGTAGTCAAGTTTCCTGTCTAATTTCCTGTACTGAAACTTGGAATCTAATCAGATCTATATAAAGAAATATGTAATTTGTACATTATTATGTGCTCATTGTACTGTCTGTTTACATAAAGGAGAAGAAGTTCTATAATCTCTGGGGCTCGACGACGAACGAAGACGAGGAGAAACTTCGCGGCATCCACAAACACATCCCGGCCCCGAAGCGGCCGCTCCCCACGCACGCGGAGAGCTACAACCCGCCGCCAGAGTATCTACTGGACGAGAAAGAGGTTCGTGGTGACTGGCCGTGCCCCGGAGGCGCTGCCCGGAGTCCGCCGCTGACTCACTGTCGCCGCTGTTGCAGATGAAGGAGTGGAATGCGCTGAGCGAGACGCCGTGGCGGCGCAAGTACACGTTCCTGCCGACGGCGCACGGCAGCCTGCGCGCCGTGCCCGCCTACGAGCGCTTCGTGCGCGAGCGCTTCCTGCGCTGCCTCGACCTCTACCTGGCGCCGCGCGCGCTCAGGATGCGGGTGAGCGCTCCCTACTCCACTATCGTGCAATTCTAGCAAAACAGTCTATAATCCACGATCTTAAAAATACTTTCTCTTAAAATCTTCTAATCGACTCGACATTCTATGGTCCGGCCGCGCGCAGCTGACGATCAACGCGGAAGACCTGGTGCCGAAGCTGCCGTCGCCGCGCGAGCTGCGGCCGTTCCCCACGAGCGAGGCGCTGGTGATGCGCGGCCACACGGGACTCGTGCGCTGCGTCGACTTCGACCCCAGCGGCCAGTACGCCATCTCTGGCGGCGACGACGGCACCGTTCGCGGTCAGCTTCCACTTGTTTTTTTTTTATTCTATTTTTTGTTGAGGCTTCAGTATATCTGGGCTACTATATCAGCTTTGTAGGAAATATCTAAATGATACGTTTGTCGTGTCAATTTGTCTGAAATGCCTTTACCCATAGATAAGACTACCTTTACTTTTAATACTACGATTGACATTCTCGTGTATGCAACTATAATTGTGACACGAGGATCGATGACGAGGCCCGAATAAAAATTTGTTACCTGCGACTATGCGACTTGCGGAGGCCGCTAGCCTTACCTAGCGGCCCCCTAAGCCGATCTCGGTCACCAATAATCCGCGATCGACCGCCGATTCGGCCGCGGTGGCAAGACGAGACATTCTCTTTGTCTCACTTTAGACGCTGGAGACACTGTGCCACCTATCACTTCCATGCTGAAAATTTACATAACACAATGGAGAGTTCAACGGGAATTATTATCTCTTGGCGTCAGTATGTCGAATGGCCCAGATGGCATACTAGCATTGGTATTAAAGAAATGTGCTCCTGAGTTGTGTCCAGTACTTACGCGTCTTTTCGCACTATCATTCTCCACAGGGCAAACCACCCTTGTGTACACTGTGTCTAAAAAAGGAGATAGATCGGACCCATCGAATTATAGGCCTATCGGCATCGCTTCTCTTCTCTTTAAGGTGATAGAGCATGTAATCTATACAAAGCTCCTTGGGTTTTTATCACCATCGTTCAACTACTCGTACCTCACACACCGCTGGGCTCTTGCTGTTGAAAGTAAGGGTGAGGCGTTGGTGGTTTGTCTAGATATAGCAAAGGGTCTGACATAATGGTCTTCTGTCGAAATTGCCTTCATACGGATTCCCCGAGGAGGTATTATGCAAATGGATCGCTAGTTTTCTGTCCAGCGGATGCATTAAAACCGTGGTTGACGGTAGTAGTTCTGATAGCATGGACATTAATGCCGGCATCCCGTAAGGCTCTGTGTTGTCCTCAACGCTGTTTTTGGTGCATATCAATGGATATTCCTCACTCCGTTGTGGAGACTAATCGCAAATTTGTGTCTGAAATCGAAAGTACACTTGCTAGAGTATCCGATCGGTGACGACTAAACTTAGTCCAATTTATCCCCTCTTTTGCGATCACCGCTAAAAAAAATCCCTATTTATTGTAGCTCCGCAATTCAAGAACACATTCATTGTCATCTTCAAAGGTATTAGGATTCTCGGTGTCGACATCTCCACCACTGTAGAGTTCCGAGGTCATCTAGAAGATAGGGACAAGCTGGCGTCCAAAGAGCTCGGGGTGCTCAATAGAACAAAACGGTACTTCATCCCGAGACAAAGACTATTACTGTACAAGTCGTAAGTTTGGTCTCTCATGGAATGTTGCTCTTATTTGTGGGCCGAGTCCGGATACTAGCCTGGTCCTCTTTCAAAGAGGCTATGACGATTGTTGACAATCCGAAGCTCACAGGCGGTATCGAGCCCTTAAGACTGAAGCGAGATTTTGCCTCCCTTTGTTCTACCGCTCGTATAACGGATTGTGTTCTGAGGAATTATTTGAAATGGTGCCTGCCGGCCACGTATTAACATCGCAGCGGTCGCCATCGGCAGGGACCTTATACTCATACGCTTGTATCTAAATAGTCATGTACAGTGCAGTATCAGAGAAATTTTGTCGATCAATCAATCCTGGTGGTACCAGCAGACCTCGTTTGTGGTATAATAAAAACGCGGCGGGTGTTCGCAGTGTGGGAGACGAGCACGGGCCGCTGCGTGCAGAGCGCGGCGGCGGGCGCGGCGGTGGCGAGCGTGGCGTGGGGCCCGGCGCGCGGGCTGGCGCTGGCGGCGGCGGCGGCGGGCGCGCGCCTGCTGCTGCTGGCGCCGGGCGGCCGCGTGGGCGCCGCGCGCGCCGCCGCCGCCACCGACCGCCTGCTGGCCGCCGCGCCGCCTGCGCACGACGTCGCCAGTGAGTCGCCCGACACGTCCCTACCTACCTTGCCCGGCCGCCTCTTACTACTTGTGCCAACAAATTGACGTTTCTTTACAGAAAAGTAGTGATCGATCAGTAGCGATGACATTTTCTTAGAACTTTTCACCAGTAAACAGTATTTGTTTATTATTTATTTATTGTTACCTGTTAACCACCTGTAAACTGTTTAAATTTCACCGCACTATGAACGATTATAATTTTTGCACATGTAAAATTTTATTTACTTACTTTTTTTATTATTGAATGTTTCGTCGACAAATTATTATAAAAAATTTAAATTATACTTTAGATCTATGTAATACGATATAAATATTCAATAGCCAAACGTCAATATATATTTTACAGTATAGAAATTTGTAGATAGGAGATTTGGTTAGTACAACTAGTTATTCGAAGCACTCGTCTATATATATAGATATGCGACGAATGCGAAATCTCTTTAAAGCCACTCCAAGCAAAACAAATACCGAGTCCCTAATTTCGAGTAGAATCTTGCGCTGCACTCTCATGCTCGACTAACTCCCTTCTATTCAGCAGAAGCCAAAGTTTCATCTGTGGATATAGCCGAAAAGCTAAAACCCAGTGTTATTCACAGTGGACGAACGGACGGCGGCGTGCGTCCGCTGGGAGGAGGTGTCGGCGGAAGACTGGCAGCGCGGTGTGCGCGTGCTCGTGTCGCACTTCAAGCCCGTCGCGCACGTGAGTACATGTTGACGAGTGCGCGGTGCCGTGCGTGCGTGCGTGCGTGCGTAACGTATGCAGCGTTTGCCGACGTGTTACAGGTGTGCTGGCACGGGCGTGGCGACTACGTGGCGGCCACGGTGCGGGACGCGACCCGCGGCGTGCTGGTGCACCAGCTGTCGCGGCGCCGCAGCCAGCTACCCTTCGCACGCTGTCGCGGCCTTGTGCAGTGTACGCTCTTCCACCCCACAAAGCCGCTGCTCTTCGTCGCCGTAAGTATGCGCGAACAAAATTATTCCTCGTTCCTGGATCGACAATTTTAAATTAATTTAATGTGTCGCTCTTTTGGTGATTTGCGGTTTCAGACGCAGCGTGCGGTGCGCGTATACGACCTGGTGAAGCAGGAGCTGGTCCGCAAGCTGCAGCCGGGTGCGCAGTGGATCAGCGCGATGGCCATCCATCCAGCTGGCGACAACCTGCTTGTCGCCTCCTACGACCGCAAGTGCATGTGGTCAGTAGCAAATCTTGTCTCATCCACTCTTTCTCTGTTGCTTTTGTTACGGAACGATTAATGCAGATGACTCAGTATTATATGTGTAACAAAATATAGAGATGACCTACGTTCGACAGTGGACGATGAGTAATTTGAAGTGAATAATAATAAAATAGTATAAGTTCCGTATGTAGCTGTAAGTATATGATAATTATATCACACTATTTTATCAACTGAAATATGTGAGTGTGTGTGCGGTACGCAGGTTCGACCTGCAGCTGTCGCCGCAGCCGTACCAGACGCTGCGACTGCACGGCAAAGCGGTGCGCTCGGTGACTTTCCACCCGCGGTACCCGCTGTTCGCCTCTGCCGGCGACGACCCCTACATCGTCGTCTCGCACGGCATGGTATACAAGTGAGTATCTCGTACACACATCCATTTACTATTGTACATATACGAGCTAACAAACTAATGGTAGTGAAACTTAGTAAAACACGAAGATAAATTAAAGACAAACACTGGTGATATGATTTCCACCATATTTGAGATTTATAGTGAGACTGAGAAGTTCTATGGACACTACACTTCATCGTTGACACCGCATACCAATGGGAATAACGACTAAAGAGCTAAAATCACTCGACACTATACCGATGATATCCCAGATGTTAGGTTGCACGAGATTGAAATGACTCTTAAATAGCTTAAAGCACTATCAAAAAGACGGAATTACAGCAGAGCTTCTGAGAGCGGGTGCAAAACCAATGTTCAGTCCTTCAAAAGCGATTTAATTTCGTCATCCATAACGTTGTTACGCCTGAGGCGTGCAGCAGAAGTGTGGTAGTTCTGTACTTTAAGAAGGGTGACAATAACCTATAGAAGACATATAGAATGATATCCCTTATATTTTGAATACTTTTGAATAATAAACCCAAATACTTTTGAATAATGTAATTGGGACTGGTCTGCTCATATTTGCTGTTCTCATGAATCCAATTTGGCTGGGCAGTGTTCAAAAAACGACGCTATATCTTCTCATCCAAAATGACTTAAAATTTAAAGATGAAGGTCTTTAACATTTTACATGTTGCCAGTGATGGCTTATGGAACTGAAACTTTGTTCTACATGGTTGCCTGTATGCATAAGCTTCAAGTTACTCAATGAGTTATGCAGAGGGCTATGCTTGGAGTTTTTTGGGTGATATAATCCAAAATGAAAATATCTTTAAAAGAACCAAAATGATAGACATACCCTGAAGGGCAAGCAAATTGAAGAGGTAATGGGCAAAATGGTCACAAAGCTCGAACAACAGACAACCGATGGGGAAGAAAGGTCCTTGAATGGCGACCTCGAATGGGAAACGCAATGTAGGACAACCCATTAGTTGCAATGACAGCCTCAAATCCATTGCAGGGAACCAGTAGATTCCGGGGGCTCAGGACCGTTCCTTATGACAGTCTATGGGGGAGGCCTATCAATGTTCAGCAGATAAAGGTTGATATGATGATGATACTGTAATAAGACAAAAGTAAATTGATATAAGCTTTTACGTCGTCCTCTTGCAGAACAATGTTAATTTGTCCAGTAATATTTTTATTCCATATTCACTTTACTGGTCGCACATAGTTATTCCAAGTATGGTTATGAGTTAAGATTACATGGAAAAATAACATTTTATTCGAAATTAAGATCGTAGGATAGACTGCCGGTAGTATAGTTATCCATTTATAAATTTGAGTTTGGTGAAATCCATCTTTGGAAGACAAATTGGAAGCGAACTGACTGTTCATCTGGTATATAGTGGTAGTCGTCAGCTTTAAAAATTAACAGTACCCAAAAATTGTGCAATATGATTTGAAACAAACTATGTGTGTGGCAGCGACCTGCTTCAGAACCCGCTGCTGGTGCCGCTGAAGCAGCTGGCGGGCGGCGCGGCGCGCGACGGGCTGTGCGTGCTGCAGCTGCGCTTCCACCCCACGCAGCCCTGGCTGCTGGCCGCCTGCGCCGACGGCACGCTGCGCCTCTACACCTAGCTCCGCCTTCCCTTGTTCATGCTCTATTCCATTGTCATTTATATGTATATAAAATCGATATCTTTGTAAGCGTATTTTTTCTGTAACTATGGATAAAACCTCCCCCTCCATAAACTATTTCTATTACCATATAGTTAGGTATTGTTCCAGTAGCATTTTGAAAAATTTTAACTTTTTCTGAGCATTTACCTACTAATATGCTTTGTTTAGAGGTAAAACATGTAAACTAACTAATATTGAAAGTTGTAAAACTTCTACTAATATTAATAGTCAATCTTTAAATGTTTGCAGTCACACATATACTAATGGTAGCAGATATAAACAAAATAATTCTAATCAACTAACTACTCAAAAGATTTTCAAGCTGAAGTGACAGTGAATAAATAATTGGACAACCATTGGAGTGGAGATATTATGGAGTAGAAACTGAGTATTGGCAAATGTAGTGTGGGACCTCCTGTGACTAGGTAGAATGACGACATTACATAGAGTGGTTGATAAAAACTAGAAAAAATGAGTTAGATATTGTACTCAGTGGTGTGCCTTAAGAGAAGCCTATGGCCAGCACTGAATGTATAAATACATTGCTATTTTTAAAGACCGCAATGTTATGCTTCTATATTTTTTTATTTTCTATATAATGTTCCACCTTTCCTGGTTATATACTCTTTGGTCTCACTTTTAAAACCAAAACACAAAATACAAGAAAAATATAGGTACTGATGATAGAGTAACAACCTCAAATACATTGTTGGTGTTTAGAATGTTACTTATTGTTGTAATATAGACAAAGTCGGATTAATTGTGTATGATGGATGGGTTGTAATAAAAATAACAATATAAAATTAAAATCATTTCAATACATTAACAATGATATAATTTTATTTTAGTTAGAATTTGTAGATATTCACATAATTGTTATTATTTTAATTTAAATACTTAAAGTTTCAGAGTATTAATTAGTTTAAATGTGATATTATCTCTGTTGACTACATATATGTACATAATATTTGTTACTAGTGTTTGTCCGTGACAATGTCCAAGTGCCTGGGATATGTATGTAAAAAGACAGGCTACTTACGACGATAAAAAGTAACCTGTTTTTCAATTTCATATAGTAAGTGTATACCAATTTTTGTAGTGATTGAAAGTGAAAGAAGTGAGTGAAACCGTTGAGGTACTACGAGGTAACAAATAAACTTATTTTCACATTTATAATATTAGTAAGGATGGTTCTAAATATTATATTTAAACTAGCGGCCCGGTACGTGCTTCGTTACCTATAAAGTGAAATAATAAAAAAAAAAAAACATCAAATTCATTTATTCAAACAAATTTCGCTAAAAAACCCGAGAAAAGTACACGGCACACATATACATAGTATACATTTTAACAATTCAAGACTCACTGTTTGTTCGAATGCACTCAATAATATGTTTAAAAATATAAACAAAGCAATCATCTGCAAAGCATCGCTGACAATTTCCTTTAATGGAAGCACATTTAAAATGAAATAACCGCATGAATGACATAACAACATGCTTGTACTGTCAACACCGAAAAAGTTTCGATTTGACAGCACAATCCCCATCTTAAAAAAGTTTCAATTTGACACAAAAATCCCCATTAACAAAATGATCCGCATTTGTTACAAAAAATGTGATTAATGAAGAACCGTTCCACCGATTTAGTGCAAACTTTACCTAAACCACCTACTAAATAACCCGAACAAAGCTTAAACATTTGCTTTGGATAGGTGAGCCCGTTCTTGAGTTATAAAATTACAATGAAAAGTGGCAGTAATAGATAAATGTTTTAAGCGTACTTACACGTAAAATATGTAATTAATATACTCCCGCCAAATCAGCTTCGACTTTCAAATTATTATTTATCAACTGAACTGACATTCAACTGATTGATTGACTTAACTGCTCACCGTTTCACAAAACCAATCATTTTGGTGGAGACTAGCTTTGCCAAATTAAGCATTTTTTTTGTAATTTTGGGTAAAAAATTATCTCTTGGGGAACTAAATGGGAAAAATGGAATAGTTATGAAGTATAATAATTTAATCTTCTTGGTGGATAATAATAAGCTAGTAAATTCGATAATAGTATGGAACCAAGCCAGTTAACGGTAAGCTATTTTAACTTTTAGTAGTATAAGTTATAGATATACGTCCTAATTATGTGTCTATCGATGACGATGTTGTTGCTAAGCAACTTGTCGATTGTAACATTTTATTTTGCTTGTTATATGTATTTAATATCGCTTTCTGTTCTTCACTTAAATATGATAGCAGAGCAAATAATAACGATATAAAATAGCCTCCTATGGAAAAATCCAACGGGAACTGCGTGGAGGTCGACCTAATAGGATATATTGCTAGTAATGGGATTAGTAATCTCCATTACTAACAATTCTTTCTCCCCCCAGTTTACGTTAATTGTAAATCAATTTAAAACTGGAGATGGTTATATGACATTATATTGACGTCACTATCATCTTCCTACCTTCATCCTAGTTGATACTTCGGGTCGGCGTAATATATTTTTCTTTTCCAATCTTCTCTTTTCACGGTCATATCCGCATTCATTTTAATTCTGACTATATTATTTTTCACGCTATCATCAATGTATTTTAAGGTTTTTTACATTCATATTTAATACCTTTTCTTAAAATATACTTATAACTTATGTATTGCATTATATTGAGATAATATTGAACACATGATTGATTGACATAAAATGAAATTACATTATTTTTCATCGCTCGTAGAGAAATTAAAGTTTAAAATTTAAAAAGAAATAAATATTCGTATTTGGCAATACTGGAACCGACAGCCTGCAGTCAGTTCAGTTCAATCAAGTCAGTCAAACTCAGTGAAGCTCGCTCGAAACGAAAGTATTTGAAACCAAACATAAGCTTGGAATAAAAGCTACAGTTTCAATTTGTCCAACGTTCATTCTGTATAGTGACGCTATTATTGTTTTTGATCATCTGTTCCTCGCTATTAAAGTGTTAAAATTATGAGGCTTTCCATTCTAAGAATTTAAGTTTTAATTATTTAAAAATTCTGATACAGTGGAATGCTTTAATGTTAAGAGCTTTCTGCCAGTTTATGTGATTCTTTAAATCAATCCGAGTCTTAGCAACATCGTTATTTTCGTATTGACGGAGGTTCATAACTTACAAATCGAACAATGTTATACTTGAATTCGTAACATATCTTTTATAAATACAAATCTTATTAAATAATGTGACAGAGACGTTCAGTTAATTCGTATATTAAAAGTGGCGAAACTTTCGAAAATGTCTGGAGCAACGACACCGACGACGACGGAGGCACCGGCGGCGCTGCCCGCTCTCGATGACCGCGACATGGAGCCACGCACGCCCATGAAACGGCTCGGCTCCACCAGAAAGCTGGCTGCATTTAGCAGTAAGTTAATTACCAAAGTATTATGTCATCCCTGTAGGTACTCGGTGCTTTGTAGGTATCCTGGAATAACGACAAATGTGCCTTTAAACTTTTGTATATCCTGTAAATAAAAATGCGATATGTCACCTTTATCCATTCATTTTTAAATAAAAACTATCCAGGTCCGTAAGCAATGGCTATGGTTATCACTTTTCAATAGGATGACTGTTAAAATGCTTAAGAAATTATACAATGGTTACAACACAATATGCATTCATTGTAAATAATCATTGTTTGTATACACTCACTTGTTCCACACCACTTTCCCTTTCTGTATAAGAAAACTTTAACAACCACACATAATTTCAACAGGTTTTTAAATATTCTGAGTTAAATATTATTAATTATTTATGTTCTAATTGAATATGTAGTACTTGCATGCATATTATATTGCCACTGAAGAGAATTGTCTCTATTATCTATCACTAAACTATATGTCAGTTGGTAACTTTAAAGGTGGTTTCTATGGTTCACATTGGTTTAATAAACCATTTATCTTTATATAATAAGCATAAATTAATAGACAGATATTTTCTTTTTTTCAACTGACTTCAAAAAGAAGGTTGGTTATATTTGGCCATAACTCCAGCTATTGTAAACTGATTTGGAAAATTATTTTCTTGATTGAAAGGATATATGTACATATTGGTACCATAGAAATTTTATCTAAATTGGTTCAGTAGTTTAGTTTTTAAATCAAAATGTTTAGCCACAATTGAAATCTGTTTTTTTTTGTGACACAATTATTATAAAGGGAGATTCCATGCTTGACTAAGCATAGCTACTACAGATAGAAAAACCTTAATTTTGACTTTGTTGATTAATGAGTGCCCTTAGGAGTTTATTATTTATTTATTTATTATGGTTCATTTACATGGATACTTTGGGTACCTATTATTGTTTTGGTTTTAATCAAACACCTAAAAAATTGCTCTTAATATCTATACATCTTTTTGATTGTTATGAAGCCACTAATGCACAGATACTGGCACTAAACATACCTTTTTTGCATCAAGGTTTAAGTAAATAATTATTCACCCATCTATTGTTTTGCAATACATTAAATAAATGTGTCATAATGCAAAAAATACTCATATGTAAGCATTGCTACATTTTCCTCAGTGATGGTTCAAAAAGTAATTTTATTATGAACTATAATATGAAATATGTAAAAAGAAGAAAATTTTACTGTAAGAGATCCCTCTATAGGATAAGTCCACTATTACACTACATTTTAACATTTGCTGCATACCTCTGCAGGGTGCTGCATGTTATGTACCTGTATATGTAACTTCTTATTATACCATGTAGCAAGCAAATAAATATGATTTCATTTGATATATATTTTATTATATTTTATTCATTTTATATCTTCATAAAGTATCCAATGTCAAGTATGTTCAATAAAGATTATACAATACAATATAAGAATCTGTTAATACTAATTATGTATCAATACTGAAATTTTGTATTTTGACATTAAAAAAGTATTTAGAGATTATTGAAATAAGTTTTTAAAAAATATGAATATAATACATATTTTGTGCAACTTAACTGTGATTAATGTTTAGGGCATGTTTTTTAAATGGCTGAGAATGAAATAGTGACCCCGATCAGCTATTGGTTTATACTGGCTGAGCATCAATGAAGGATGATAAGTGAGGATGAAGCAAGTCAGTTGACTCATGTGTGACTCAACACATAGTAAATTCAACAGTTATGGTTAATGTAATAATGATTGTTTACAGAGGGAACCAAAGAGAGGTCAACCTGATTGATTGCTAGCAATACACCCTGTATTACTAGCAATAGATCTCTTAGACCCTGTTACTAAAGATCCCTTTCCCACCACTTATGGCATGTAAAAGAACAAATTTAGGGTAACAATAGGAAGCCTTTTTTTTAAAAGTGTTGCATTAGTACTTTGAGTAGTTTACTAACATAATGACACTCTATAAATGTTATGCATATCCTCAATAGCAAGACAATATCTCATTATGTAGGAGACAATTGATTGAGACCATACACATTTATTGGTTTGACAGCACCTTTTATGTCAACAACCCTCATTGTATTTGTTTGGTTTGTAGGAATTCTTAGGAACAGTCTAGTTTATTGTTGCTTGTCATTTATTTCCCTCAACTCCTGTTATCATACAACTTAAGGAATTTTAGAAAAATTTAAAAAACATTTTGTTTCTTGTAACTGTTTGTCAATAAGGAATTTACTGCACGACTGCTTGCTGGAGGTAATAAAAAATAATTTTATTAGTATATAGATGGAAAAATTATGTGTTTATTATAGGCAAATTTTTCGCTCCAAAAAAGAATGGCAACTTCAATCATAACAAATGGCACTAATACCTCAGTGAACCATATAAATTTCAAGAAAATTATCAAAATCCGTTCCCTTTTTTAAAGTGGTTAAGGCTACTAAATTGTCTTTATTTTGTCGTGCTCCACTAATGTTTTCTTAGTTGGATAATGAATAAATGATGCAGTGTAAAGTAGGCAGAGGGGTACAAGACACGGCAGATATTAACGGCGAGAGCATTGGCTACATCCTCTCGTCTCAGACGGTCGGGGCGCGCGGCGGCGGCCCGCGCCCACGCCGCGCGCTGCATCCGCTCCGGACTGGAGTACGCGGGATTCGTCTACAAATTATAATCCTAAGAATAAAAAAAGCGTGTATTATGTACTGTATAAAACTAAAATGTGATTTACTTGGTGTGTAAGCGTCAGCGATTGCACTGGCTACATTGATTACTGATTAATACTTATCCATTTAGGACCCATGAGCTTTCATGAGAAGCGATCGCTAGCCAATGTGGGACCCCTTGGCTGTTTCTTAAACTGCCTAAGAGATATTCTGACCTCGTTAATGTGCACAATCAGAGATTAATATATACGCTCTGCCTTTTCTAGTCTGTTCATTATAATTAGGTAATTAGGTAGCTTTACGTGTAAATCACTATTACTGCTTGTGTGAGGTTGGTGCCCTCCGATGTCAATAGCTTCTAGGCCGCCTTCTTTATACATACACGAAGGCCCCTGTCGTGACTTACCTAGCAACGACTTGCAATGTAAATCATTAAATTCTGTCAACTTACAATGAACATTTTCCTAGTTCTTCCATGTCTCATAGTGAACTTATCTAAATATATCGTAAAAATAAACATAAAAGTATTTTAGATGGCGGTCTATACTTGTATATAGCACATCGGTATTCTGTAGCAATAATAACAATAGTAGATACGGACCGCTCGTAATATTGTTTGCATATAAAATAGACAATCTGCGCCGTATCATTGCGAGAAAAAGTATTATTTTGTGCACATACGAGCTCTGGAAAATTCCGAGTAAAGCGGGATTACTCTAACCTGAATATTAAACAAACACATTACAAGGCGGCGTACAGCGTTAGCGAGTGATTAGAGTGCGCCACTTCTTACGCTTAGGATTAGGAATACTGCGTCGCTCCATATGGACCATGGAGCGAGAATATATAGTATAGTACGGAGTACGGACGCCTAATGTCGGCTGCCACATGTGGGACACAAATGGCAAAGCCGCCACGGTCGCTGCTTCCTGTGTTTGTGTTTAATTATATTTGTATTGTATTGTATATGTTATGAAAAAAAAAAAACAGAAGAATGACCTATTGCTGGCTGTAAGACAAAAAAATTAATATATCAGAGACAAACAGTAATATTCAAAACCGACAACACATAAAGCATAAAAGCTAAAGGCGTTATTTCCTTTCCCAACTCGGGACGTCCTCACTGGTGTTATTTATAAACCTCTATGCAAAATTTCATGCCATTAGGCCCAGCATTTCGGCGGTGTGTCGATCAGTTAAGCAATCTGTATTTCCTTTTAATAATATACAGTAGAAATAAGCTTGTCGCTATTAGTAAAAACTAATAATGGCGTATTTCAGAGGGGGGGGGGGGGGATGTGACCGCCCCAGAATATGAGCGATAGTAACTATGCACAAAGTGCATATCTCTGAGTTCTTATCGCCTTTTTTAAAAGCTCCCCCCACACCCTCAGTCCCTGAAAAATATTTTATTATTTAGTTATTTTATTTATTATTTTAATATATTATTTATATAGTTTATTAATTTTTAGTAAAAGAATAGAGAACCAGAAAACTGTGAAACCTGTCAGAGAACAAAGAGATTTCAGCTCAGCTTGCACGACGCGGGCGCGGAGACGTCAGGTTCCACCGACAATGGGCTCGCCATTGCGCCATTTCAGGCAGAGACAATATTAGTAGATAATGGCAGTAATTAGTTGCCGTCGTGTTCATTATGGCAGACTATTTCGTGCACGTCGTGTTGACTTATAATTTTTTTTAACATAATACTTACGGATAACTGCTTGCAATCTGTGTCATGGTTTTTCAATGTTCCATGGCAGTATTTTTCAAAATAGTCAAATGCTTCACACGAATTCATACATTTCATGTGAAAAGGAATTTTATACGTTAGAGATTATGTTAACAAACAAAACAATAAAATATCGGGTCATTACACTGTTAAATTAAGTATTGAGTGTAAACAAGTAAGGATGTAGTCCGCCCGATTGAGAGCGGCCACCGCAACTCATTAGCTTGCTATGTATCCTTGTATTGTAACAGTTGTAACAACAATAGTCACATACAGTAGAATCACCGCGTGTGTCTCGAGATGGAATAGGCCACCTCTTCCTCTCCCGTGGGTATCGAAGAGGCGACTAATGTAGGGCGAGGAATGAGCAGCAGCGTCTCTTTTAAAACATCCATAAAAGCCTAACTGTGGTTAACTGCCAATCCGCCTGCCAAGCGTGGAAACTACTGGCAAAACTGCTCTTATGGGGAAGGCTTATACAATAGAGTCACTCTCATCCCGTCATAATTCAAGTACCAATAGTTATTTCATTTATCACAAGTCGCCTTTCATGTTGCAATACAGCTGACTA